AAGGAGCTCTGCTAAGGAACATCTGGCTGAATTTAAATGGCAAAGCTTGGACTCAGCACGATAACACAAACAAAATGATGATATTGGCTTCAGCCTCTGGTAACCAGCTGCTCTCAGACAGGGTATCGATGTAACTACTGCTGAGGATTATCAGAATCTTCTAAGCTTCCATACTCCTGCTTTTGATCAGAGACAGAGACAGGTACCACAAGTATTTAAAAAAAAAGACTCACAATAACACAGGGGAATCTATGACAGAAAGAAATGTTGCTGTTTTGAAGAAAGTCTGAGCAGTCATATTAGAAGGCCAGACTTACATAACATAAAATAAATGCCAAAACCAACAGATGTCTTCAAACTGTCTCATCCAGAAGAAATTTATTTAAATAATGTCAAACTGGGTTACAAACATTATAACTAAGGACTTCATATTCTTCAATCATTGTACCCACATACTAATTTGGGACCTGAAACAAGAAAAAGATATTTATTCTTAAGAAGCTATTTTTACAGCCAGAAATCCTCCTTAGTTTGTTTTTATACATAATCACTTTTAATAGCCTTCAAAATAGACATGGACAAAGAGCATTATCTTTAAAAACCCCTGCAGTGTTATAAGTCTTGGTGAAACAATGATTCTAACTCCTACGTTGTTTCCCAAGAAAATGAAGCTGTGATTCAGTCACTCTCATTAATAAATAGCCAGATCCTCATGAAGTTAATTCAACACAGATAAGACAAATTGTATGACAACACAGATAAGAGAAATTGTAAGGGTAGGGCCCCAAAGTTGAATGATTTCGTTGTCTAAAACATCAAGTCAAATCATCTGTTTAAAAATAAGTATATCTACAAGGGATTATTTTTTCCAAATAAACCTCCAAAATTGACCAGGAAAAACTTGATGTATTGAACATTCCACTTATACTTGAGGAAAAAAAATGTAAAATAAAAAGTTTGTGGTATTAATCAAAAGAGTTCTGAAAAAATACTATAGACCTTTGGTGTTTATCTGAAGATGTGGATTTTTTTTTTTTTTTTTGCTGTTGTTTCTTTGCTCTCCTAGCAAATTTCTATTGATAACATTTGAAAACTTGTTCATATATTAGAAGATAACTATTTTCACTTTCACTCTGCAGCATGGACAGCACTGAACAAAACCAGCTTATAATCAAGTGCAGCAAAGATATATATATAAGCAAATAAATTCTAGTGACACTGGATGAGTCAGTGAAAAGGAGAAGGTACCTGAAAGGCAACAAAACCAGACAGGAAAAATAAAATTTAAAATGGGGTGTTAAATCTTATTTTAGAGTCTGTTTTTAAAAACCAGCATAGAGAAGCTAAGTTTTCCATAGAAGAAGGACTAATGTTAATCTTCAGAGTATTTTAATAAGTGCAGTTGGACAAGACAGAGACGTTCCACAGTTTCTGTTCCTTAAAGGAATATTTTCCATTACCTCCTCCTCTTCCTTTTATCTCTGCTCCTAGCTTATTCCACATTTATACTTTTGTGATTGTGACAGTAAAAAACTAACCTTCATAAAAGTATTGTTTTCTGCCAGCTTAGTGAGCAGAATTGTCTCACAGAGGGGGCCAGGCAAGTGCCAGAGCCAGTCAGATGCTGAGAGCCACTGGAATAGGAGGAGACACACAGCTAGGATCAGGGGAAGATAAATTTAGAAGCCTAAATTTAGACCTTCTCCTTTAATTGCCTAGCACTTTGATGCTTGTAGTCACTCTCATTTGTAAGTAACACTTACTCAGCCTAAACTACCTAGAGCAGAAAGAGGATGGTAAAAAGAAGAGGAAAAGGATCAGTGAATTTGTTTTTGTAAAGAGTCACTCAGCTTTAACCAAAGAAAAGAAATAGGGACACTTGCATTTTTTTTAACTGTTTCTGTTGCTCTCCTGAAAGATTACAGAGTATGTGGCTGACACTGTTCTTTGAGATCATGAAGGCTGAAAACTACAAAAAATAATCTCTGCCTTTAAGTACTCCTAAAAGTTGTAATTTCCTGGGATCTGGCTAAAGCCACAGATTTATTGTCCAGAAAAATGTTATGATCCCTACGAATAACTCGTGTCCACAGAGTGTACAGTTCAAAAGAAGCATGAAAGTGGTGCCAGGACTCCCTGTGTCTTTTTTAGTTTTCTTTCTCTCCTAGTGCTTAGAGAATAGCACTTCTGTATAACCATAACTTACCAGTGGCCATTTACGGAGCACCAGGGATGAACCATACAGTTTATGGAATCTGTAATAAGAACAGAAGAAATAAAGTAATGACTCCACACTTATATTTGGCTTCCTTAGTGAAATTGAAGAAGTCATTTATAAAGTATGAACCTTGCCAAAATGGACAAAAATATCTATTTGGATGATTATTTTAAAGTTTGCTTCTGTTCACTTACAAACATTTTAGAAGCATCATCTACCCTTCTGATGCTGTCCTACCTCTCATACCAACCTCTACAGTGTTCTAACGTTTCAGAATTCAGAAGGTGAGCTTCTATTTTGAAATCACCGAATGGGCATTTTTCCCAAGAAATATTTTTGAGGTTCTAAAATACGGTGTCATCCTCTATAGTTCCAGTATATGCCTAATAATTGGCTTCCTATGCCTCTTCAATTCTTCAGTTAGTAAAGACAATTTCAGAATTAGCTCACATTTTAGGAGTGGATTTTTTGAGGAGTGAATGTTGTCTTCAGTAGATTCAATCATGAGAGAGCTTAAAAGGCAGTCTAGCAACAGCTGAAACCAGCTGTGTCTTTTACACTCACACTCAATCCTCATCCATTACTGTGTGAGACTGGTGCAAACACCCACCCCTGAGAGATGCTGTGTTAGTGCTGCAGAACACAGCGCACCAGCAATATTTGTAGCCATGACTTAACACCTCATGACTGCTTTCTGGTTCGTATTACCTTTATAACAGAAACAGCTTCATATGGTAGGAATTTGAGTTATACTCAAGTTGTTGTCTTTGACGGTTTTTTTATCTTCTGTCAGTGCAGTATAACTGGCTTAAAAGCAAAGAAGTCGCCTATCAGGACTGTTAAGCTCCCAGAAGGCAGCAGACTGGTTTTGTTTGCTGCTTTGCAGCACTGCCAGTAGTCTTAGGAGGTAATAGATTCAGTGTAGTTTGTGCTTGACAAAAGCCAAACCAAGAGTTGAGACAAAGATAATTAAAGAGCTGAGCTGATCAGGCTCTTCAGATAATGATCTGCAAATGACTGTTTTGCTATGGTGCTGTCTAGTTTAGAAACTAAGTCTAATGTAATTCTCTTCCGTATGTGCACTTAAAAAGCCAACTTCTAGAAAAAACAAACAAACAAACAAACACAAACAAAACCACAACAACAACAACAAAAAACAAACAACCCAAAACCATACAACCAACTTTCTTAATGAATTGTTGTCTACACACAATGTAAGGAATATTTGGAGATGTAGAGGAGGCAGCAGTCGCCTGGTAGCCTGATTGTCTCTGTGACAATGAAGGAAAACAACTCCTTGATAAAATACACAAGCTTTGAGAGATGAAGTAGGATGGAAATCAGAAATGTAAGCCTTGTGGAAATAGAACTGGACTCCACTAGGGCATTTACTGGCACATTTATAGATATTACAGTCCATAGTTTGCCTTTCTCTTCTCTTTTAAAGCCTTATAATCTTTATTTGCCCCTAAGGTTTTTACCCTCTTGAAAAACGCCACCTCTGACTCATCTGAGACTGTAGATAATAATCTTGGATCAGTGGAGGGGTAATTAGATTGTTTAGAGCAAGACAAAGACTGATGTCTCCTGAGCCCTTTGCCTCGAAGGTAACAGCAAAAAGGGCAATAAAAGAACATTAAGGGGGGGCTGCTGCCTGGGGTTCACTGGCTTAGACTTGGAGAAACTATTAACCTGCTAGAGGAAGACAAGAAAGCCCTAATTACACTACTAAGATAAATCTGCTGAACGGCAAATTGCTTACTATTATTTCAGACACCACGGGCCATTTTAAATCATGATTCTGTGGGATCGTATTTTAACGGAGCAAAATTTCGGGCATAACTCTGCCTCTCCTGGGGGCTGAAACACACTAATGGAAGTGTTTTAAGGGTTCCCTTTTCATTTCCACATCGACTATGACTGGCGCTTACCACCTATGCAGTGGGAACCCGAAATATCTCCACATTTCACCGTTTCGACGCCCTTGGGCCCCTCAGCCTCGAGCCGGAAGGTCCCTCAGGTGTGACTCGTGCGGGTTTAACTTTGTGCAGCGCCGTCCCCCGGGTTCCCCCAGGAGCTCGGGGTCCCTCAGGAGCTCGGGGTTCCCTCAGCAGCTCGGGTTCCCTCAGCAGCTCGGGGTTCCCTCAGCAGCTCGGGGTCCCTCAGCAGCTCGGGGTCCCTCAGGAGCTCGGGATCCCCCAGGAGCTCGGGGTTCCCTCAGGAGCTCGGGGTTCCCCAGGAGCTCGGGGTCCCCCAGGAGCTCGGGGTCCCTCAGGAGCTCGGGGTCCCTCAGGAGCTCGGGGTTCCCTCAGGAGCTCGGGGTCCCCGACGCCCTGAGGGACCGAGGGCTGCGGGCAGGACCTCCCAGCGCCGCCAGCCCGTGCCGGGGAAAGGCTCCGTGTCCGTACCGTCAGTGCTAAGGCTCTTCTCCGGAGGGATCCTGCCCCTGAGGGAGGGAAGGGGGCTGGTCCCCCGCCCCGCGGGAGGCGATCGCCGCTCTCCTCACCCGCCGGTAGCGGAGGGGCCGGCGCCAGCCCCGGGGGGCGGGTGGCAGCTCGGGCCCTGCGAACACCTCCCGCCTCAGCCGCGGCTGGCGGGCGGGCCGGCGAGGCCCCGGAGGCGCGGGGGGCAGCTCGGGCCCCGCGGCGTCCCCCTCGGGCAGACCGAGCGGGAGGTAGCGGCCCATTTCTGCCGGAGAGGGGCGGGGAGGCGACGGAGGCGGCGACGGCGGTGCCGGGGCGGCGGGGCGGGGCGGAGCGGCCGCCATCACACGTGTGGCAACGGGCGAGCATCCCCGAAACGGCAGCGGCGGGAGCGGAGGTAACGCGGCGGTAACGCGGGGCCCGCGGCCGGGCGGGACTGCGGCGCCGGCCCCGGGCTCCCTCCGCCCTGAGGGGAGGCTGGCGGGGCTCGGCGCAGGGGCTGCCGGCGGCGCCTCTCCTGCAGCATCAGGGGCTGGCGGCCTCGGCCACCCGAGGAGCCGCAACTGTGCGGGGCGGGAGCGTGATAAATACCGCGTGCTGTTTTTAAGGGGCGATTCAGCGGCAGCACATGTGAGTGTCCCAGCCCTGACAGTCCCCGGCTGAGGCGGGAGCCTGGAGAGCTTCCTTCCTGGCGCTGTCGCAACGCTGGAAGTCCGTCTGAACCTCGCCCCTCGAGGGGCGAAATGAGACGCGATCCCCCCTCCGGCGGCGGGACCCCCTCGGGGTCCCCTTCCTGACAGCCCCGGGCGCCCGTCCCGAGCGAGGGTGGTTGTCCGGAGCCACGTGTTGTGTTCGGTTTGGCAGCGGGCGGTGTGAGGGGTCTGTGCGGTGCTCCTGGCCGGCGGGGCAGGCAGTGTAACTGTGCTAACGGCGCGCAGGGAGACCCTCAGGCCAGAACGCCTCGGCTCGCTGGCGCTCGGTACTGATTTTCGTTGTTTATGTGTTTTTAAGTGTCATGTATTAAGTACAATCTGTTTAGGCGTGACCGTGGGTTGCGCCTGAAGAGTACACATGGGTGTAGGTCTGTAGGTAAGCCTGTGCTGTTTGGCATGACTTTCCCCCCTTTCGGGAGGTTTTCACTTTTCTGCCCCAGGATAAAAAACAAGGTCAGTTATTGAACAAATCTTTCTGTCTTTACCTGAGCCTTATGCTACAAATTTCACCAGATGTTTTGCTCCTTGCAGTTGCTTCATGCACTCCCAGCCGCGCCTCTTGCTAAATCAGGACTGTCACCACAAAGTCCGTGCTGTGAGCTTGCTTCTGTTTTTTCCCTTGGAAATATAAAAATAAATTAGAAGTATGAAGGATATAGTGGCAAATTGTTTTCCACTTGGAGCTGGCACGATTGTTTGAAATTTCTCAGTTTAAAATCTAGGTTAGTGTTAAGTATGTGGATTTGTCTAGGATGGGCAACTTCAGAATTTTTGGGAAATTTCTGAGACGTTGTAACTGAAATCTGTTGTGAACTGATGATAGGTCTTTCCCTCATTCAGTGTTCACAGCCTTATTCAGGATTTGTCCAAACGTGGGTAGTATGTGTATTTGCAGAACATCTCTTTCCAGCTGTGTCACAGATGTGTATGGTCAGGATTTACTACCATCACTGATAAACTATCAAGTGAATGATTGACATAGTAACCTCTCTTTCATTCCTTTTTACATGATAAACATACCTGGCCATTTTTTAAAAAATGGATGTTACAACCAATTCTATTCGATTGAAGGTTTATGTGTTTTTTTTATAACCCTAAAGATGGTACGTTTGCATATGCAAGCACAAAAGATTTGGTTGAACAGAATAATCTTTACGTTGGGAATTGCTTTTGTTGCAAGGGCTTCCTGTCTGCTAAGCATATGTATGTATGGCAGGGAAGTGATTCTTCTCTCACCAGCAAAAAGGAAAACACGTGCTAGAGAAACTCTAAGCCTTTCCCATGTAAATGTTCAGACTGTGAGGTGCCTGAATATATACATTGCAATGAATAAGCATTTCTGGGACTTACAACCTGTGCTCTGTGGGTGCTTAACTAACTCCCTGAAGACTTTGATGCTGTTTGCCTGTATAAAGCAGCCTTGACTCTTACTGGAAGGGCCATTCATTGTGTTCAGAAATAGGAGCCTTACATCTGGTACTTGTGAAGAGTCCAAGTACATGTAAAGCTGTGTTATGGCAAGAGTTGTTTGAGGCAATCAGGGTGACTATGGAAGACAGGCAAGAACACCAGAAATCTTTGGTAATGAGCAGGTACTGTATAAGAATACAGCAAAACATAGTAAACTTTCAGCAGTTTGGTACTTCACCTGGGTCATTAACCCACCTGCATGTTCACCCCAGCCTGAGCTCATGACAGCTGTCCTGCTCAGTGGGAGAAAGGGGATCTTGGTGGAGGGTTCCTCTTTCCCTTCCCTTAAGGGAGGGCTGCCCTGTAATGCAGTGTTAGTGCCCTGCTGAACGCATGTTAACCTTCATTAGCTCCTTTGGGACCTGGCCAAAGTGGGGTAGGCCTTACCAGAATATACAGTTTTGGTGAAACACTGAAGGGATCCTCGTTTCAGGTGAGTCTGACCCAGGTTCATATTAAAGTCTTTTCTATCAATGGCAGAGTCATTTTAGTAAAAAAAGAAAATCTCCACATATCAGCGAGAAGATTCCTCAGAACTGCAACAATCAGCAAAAAAAAAAAGAGTTGGAAGACTTGGTATTGCACAAGGGCAAGCAATGAGGAAATCCTTTTTAGCTAGCTTGTGTGAAAGCATAACCCTGCATTAGCCATAGCAGTCCTGTGGCCAGGCTTTGGCAACATTAGAGATTGTTCTAATAGTATTTTTAAATGCAGTGTTACAGGATTATTGTATGTTAGAAAATATATACTATTTGTCTCTCGTTCTCCTCTTCCAAGCCTGTCTTCTGTTATCACAGAAGTGGTGATCTTGTGACAGAATCACAGATTTTAATATATATGTTTTTTCTGTATTGTGTTAATATTGACATAGCTTCAGTTTTCTAGTCTCTGCTCTCCCTCTTCACTGTTAAGTTTTTTCTTCCATTTGGTAAAAGCTGCAAATTTTAGTTCCATTTAAGATTAACTGAAGTGCTTGTATGAAAAACCTGCCAACAGTTTTGTTTCTGTCGCAGGGGTGCTGTAATAAGACATATGACTCAGGCAAATAAGCAATTCCTGCCCTCAAGGCTCTAAGGATATAAAACAAACAAGTGTGGAGGAGAGAAAGAAATGCCAAAACTGGAGTGAGCTGTTGCACACACCTTCATTAAATCCTAGTTGTGGGCAAATACCCGAAGTTGGGAATAACAAAAGCAGACTTGGAGAAGAAGAAAGAGTACTGGGAGACAAAACAGGCTGGGCTGAGAGATAGTGTGATTGTTCTTTCCTGGGTAGAGCAGATTAGGGCAAGAAGTGGTCAAGGTCATCAATAAAAATGTGTATAGAACTGCAGTCACGTGCTGCTAATTGAGATGGAGGCATTTGAACAGTGGCAGAGTCACTAGTAATTAAATTTACCTCTGAACTTCAGACCGCGAGGTAAATCACGGTTACTCTTAGTGCAAAACTGCCTGTGTGTGAACACATCAGATTGGATGTGATTTGAATGATTCAATTGATCTGGATCAAGTCAAACCATCACAGTGTCTGAGTATTCAAAGTGATGTGTATTCTTCTTATCTGTACTCTGAAAGGTGTTCCAGGGAGAAACGGGAATGATGATTAGGATATGGGGAGTAAAAATCATGTGTAACTGTGTAGTTATCACCAAAATGATGTTTTACATTTGTGATGAATTCTTGATATTTACAATTTTATCCTTTAGCTGGAAGGGCTGAAAATCAACATGGCATATTTCCAGACTGGCAGTTGGATGTCGTAATAGTAGCTGTAGTATTCTTGTTTTTCCACTGACATTTGTTCAGGATGATTTGCCCTCTGAAATACATTTGCAGCTAGTGTTCTGTCTGAGTTCATTTCAGAGAAATGAAAAGACTCAATTTGGAGTTAAATGTTACTTTTATGGGTCACAAGTGTTCCTTTAAATCCACTTCTTACAGCCAAATTAGTTATGAAAACATCTGCTTTGATTATTTGTTCTGCTATTTTACACAGCTTTCCGATGATTGCATCATATTTACAATGGATTATTATAATAATTACATTCATTTACAGAGTAATAACTGATCTTTCTGTTGTAAAGCAAATCAGATAATCTTGTGAGCTCATAGACCATGTGTCTTTTTGAAGACTTAACTCCATTACACCGATAACAGAAAGTCAGCCAGTACGTGGTTGCAAATGAATTTGGCGTAAGATAGATGGAAGAGCAAATAACAAGGAGAACAGGTAACAAGTGTTGAGGTAAATATGCTTTCCTTTTCTTTTGCAGTTTTGGGCACACTCATCTGTAGAAACTGTGTGGATCCCTCTCTCTTGGTTAGTTTTATTTTGTTGGACATACCTCATTATAAACTCAAGCTTTTAAGTTCTGAAATATCAGAGATTAGTTTCTAGAAGGTTGAAAATTTTTAGTCTAATTATAAGTGTGAAATTTGATGGCTTCTGATGTATGTATGACACCAGATAAGATGCTGACTCATGTATAAATGATAAAATATGTATTTAGTAATTAACCATCTTTAAAGTGTTTCTTCGGAGTACTGAGGGGAAAATAAATCAAAAGGCATCCAGCTAAACAGATTGAGGATCTAATTTTGCATTCTTTAAAAGAACACTAAATATTCATGAGTCAGAGATGAATGATGTACCATGTTTCAATAAACGATTTGTACTCCATTTCAGTAGAAGTTACTTTTTTACTTGATTGAAAATAGTCTTTATCATTTTCCCATCTAAACTATTCTGGTTTAGGGATGTCTAGTCAGGTTTTCTGTACAGTAGTACACAGGTGTTGGCTTTGTGATAAAGGAATAATATTCCCTCCAGAAAGGTGTGTTCCTCCAAGTGCAAGGGAAGACGTGTATCTTCCTGTGTTAGTAGATGCACATCTAGTTTGGGTGACCTTTCAAAATCCCCATATTCAGGATTCTTGTTCTCTTAGTTGACAAGTTTATTGTTGCAGTAACAAAACCTTTTGTAAAATTAGTGTTACCCCAAAAAAGCACAAAGTCACCCCTCCCTCCCCAATCAGCTGCTTTATTCTAAATGACCCAGACTTCATTTTTTCTGTTCTATAATAATTGAAGTATACACTGAGAGTTTAATGAGGCACAGGGCAAATGAATGGTCATGAAATTAATTTTGGTAATTATGTAGGGCCTACTCTTTATGCAGCTGATAAACTAGTAATCAAATGTTCGTTTGCAGTTTGAACTGGTTTCCATAGAAGATTGTTCCTTGAATAGATTATTTCTTATTTGAACTTCTATAAAATGAACATTATTCAGAATTATCAGTATATTCTTGTGCTAAGAAATCTTCTTAGCAGTAATTTGCTTTTGGAAGGCATGGGAGAATTTTCTGGAGACTTGAAAGGAGGTGGCTCTTTTCCAAATGGTCAGTTCTGAAGCAGAGGAAAAAGGTTATTTAATTTCTGTGTTCTTAGATACTGTTAAATATAGCTGCATGGAGGAATTTGGATTGAAGCTGCTATGGGTTTTCTCATGTAGAGCCTGCACTCTTAGATAACTTCCTTCTTCTCCAAGACAGAAGGCAGTGAGATGTGGAAATAGTTTTGGGGAGGGAGTGAAGCACAGTATTGGTGAGAAGTCTGGAGCTGGATCTGGGGATTCTGGAGTGAGTAGCTCTGCCCTCCCTGCATGAGTAATGTGTGCAGCCCTGGACCGGGTCACTCATGAACTGCACCTTTGGTGTTGCAATGAATCGGGCTTCGTGCTTAGAACGTCTATCCTGCTCTTGCAGTGCTTGCTTTTCTGTATCACTTCACTGTGCTCCTATCTGTTCTTTCTTCTGTTCCTCTCAAAACTGGAGCCCCTGAATTCCACCTGTCCTCAGTTTTGTTTGTTTGTTTTCCTAAAGGTAGGAGCCCTCTCTCATCTGAAGTTGTATTGGAATTTGTCTCTTTCTCTGTGTGAGTTGGTTTTCCTCTTTAACTGTGCATGAATTTGTGTTAAAAAAAAAATACGAAGGCAATTTCTTAGTTTTCATTTGTAGATCACGGTCCAAAAAGATGGAAAGAAGATTTTGCAAGAGAGTCCTGGCATAAAAAAAAAAAAAAATAATGATTTCAGCTGTTTCATTTTGTTTTAGATTGTGATTTGGAGTCGTGAAGAATTCACAGTCCGTCCACAATGGCAGAAAGGACAGATGGTACACAGTCACATATTTCAGTGGCTGAATACAGCCCTGTCAATAAATCAGAAAGGACAGACCCAAGTGAAATGAAGCATGGAAGTGAAAATACTTTGCAACTGAAGAAAGAAATATCTTTGATAAATGGGATAAGCCTTATTGTGGGGAACATGATTGGTTCAGGTATCTTTGTCTCTCCCAAAGGAGTTCTCATCTACAGCAAATCTTATGGATTGTCTCTCGTAGTTTGGGCAATGGGGGGGATTTTTTCAGTCTTTGGAGCTCTCTGCTATGCTGAACTTGGAACCACTATTACGAAGTCAGGAGCCAGCTATGCATATATCTTGGAGTCCTTTGGGAGCTTCATTGCTTTTATTCGTTTGTGGACCTCACTCCTAATTGTTGAGCCAACCAGCCAAGCAATTATAGCCATCACCTTTGCTAACTACATAATTCAGCCCTTCTTCCCTTCTTGTGATCCTCCGTATTTGGCTTGTCGTCTCATAGCAGCTGCTTGTGAATGTAAGTATTGCTTGAAATTCACTATGGTCGTTTTTTATCCCTGGTAAGTTTTATTAAAACAAGTCTTACCAAGTCTTAGAGTCGTTGCATACGAATAACTTGCAGGTGTTCAGTGAGTTACCATTTGCTCATTTGGAGCACAACAAGGGGTTTAACTCTTCCAACTTTACTTGCAAGGCAAAAATGGTGGGAGAAGTTGTTTTTCCTTGGGAGAGGTTTTTTAAATCAAACCTCAAGGTACTCCTGGTATGGTCTAAGTTGTTGCAGAATGGCTGTTGACATGCTTCAGTAACTACTCTGTTAGGGTTTCAAAAAATCATTCAAGATGATGCTTGTGATGAACCATAACATCAGTACTACAGTACCTGCTGTATAGTTGTTTTGAGAAGTGGAGATATTGTGTGCACAGAAAACCTGTGTGCTACAGAACCAAAACTTGACAGTTCTCAGGAACTTTTAAGTAGCTAAAAGATAATGAAGTTGAAGAAAGCATGAGAGAATAATTTCAGTAAAAGGAGAGAGGAGGTGTGGTTTATTAGGTTCTTGATTATCTATCTTTCTTTTTCTTTTTTAAGGTATCAGAGGCAGAGTAGCATTTCGTCTGAAGTAGAGACCAAGCCCTAACTCACTAATAATAATTACTCCCAATGAAAGATGCTTTAAAAAAAATGGCTGAAATAAACCTTGAGCAAATACTCTGATCACTAAAACTGAGGAGCAGAGACTGAGCAGTTGGTTGTTTTCCTGAGGGCTCTTTGGGAGCTGCAGCAGTCCTGGCTTTTGAGATTTGATACAACTGTTTTTTTCCCCTCATCTTGCCAAGCTCAGTGGACTCAACAGAATCTCATTCAACTGTTTTGCTGGGCCCGACTGTCTAACATAGTAGTGCTGTGCTTTGGAGATCATTACCTGCTTTTTGTTGAACCTTCTGTTTGACCTTCTGAAAAGTCAATGCTTTTCAATCTGGTAGCTGTGCTAAGCTCATTTTTATCTTAGCAGTATCACAGTATTCTTGGATTCTGAGAAAGGAAATAATGTATTGCATCTTTTCATTTGATTTTTATTTGCTACTACCATACTCCTGAAACAATCCAATTTAGTTTCTATTTATATGCATATTTTAAATACACAGTATGAGAAAGTTCTTTGGAGATAAAAACTGTGGTAGAATATAACCACTCCTTTTAATAGCTAGAGAAAATATGAGATTTGGGGGAAATATTGTTTCCAACACAGAAGTTTAAATAATTCAGTGATAATCTAAGAAAACTATGCACTGAATTAGGATTTTGTGAAATAAATACTGAAGATACTGAATCCTGTTCAATATTCAGCCCTTGAGTTAAGGCAGAGGTTGTCTGGCTCTATCCACTTCAAAAAAACCAGTAAGAAATGCAAAAGCAAAATGTTGAAAGCCATGAGGACAGTCTTGGGGAAGCTGATCATGTGCGTAAGCTTAGTCAGCAACTCTGAAATATTGGTGAGATCTGACAGTCTCATTTCAAGTTTCATCACAATCTTGTGAAATAGGTCTGACTCTAAATTTATTTTGGAACAGAGGGAGGAGTATACTCAGAATACTCATTACTTACTCCCAGTTGTTGAAATTGCAGGTGGCTGTTGCATTAACTGTAAAGCACATGCTCTTGAGAACCACAGAATGGTTTGGGCTGGGAGGGCCCGTAACACTCACCCAGTGCCACCCCCTGCCATGGGCAGGGACACCTTCCACCAGCCCAGGGTGCTCCAAGCCCCATCCAACCTGGCCTTGGACACTCCCAGGGATCCAGGGGCAGCCACAGCTGCTCTGGGCAGCCTGTGCCAGGGCCTGCCCACCCTCACAGGGAACAATTTCTTCCTGATACCTAATCTAATCTACCTTCCGGTTAAAGCCGTTACCCCTTGTCCTATCGGAGCATGTCCTTGACAATTCCTTGATCAGGTCTGTTCTCTCTTTGAAGTACAGTTCAATGGAACTGGAAAGGGATATTGAATCATCTGATACTATACCTGCTATTGCAACTACTCCATGGGTGTTGAACTCATCCTCAGCTAGCAAGGGAGGATAAAAAAACTTTTCAAACACACTTGCCTGAAGGAATTTCTAACTAGTCTTTCATTTATCAGAACAGTATTGATACATTGAATTCAATTACTTCATGTAACAGTTTCTTTAATTTCAGGATAGCTGCAGAGTGCAGCTGTGAGGAGTAACATTAGGAAAATGGGCATGTAATCAGAGAAGGGGAAGGTCTTTCCTTCCATCTTTTGAAACAGTGTGTTCAGAACTGTTTCTCGCTGTTTTGTTTGAACCGCTGTGTTTTCAGTACTGGTGTATTTGGCTTAGTTGAACCTAAGTAATTGTATAACAGGTAAGTGCGTATTTAGATTGCAATTAAAATCTGTGAAAAATGGATTAAACTGAACATTGTTCAAAGGATCTTTTAATTTGTCTTCTTTTTTCCTCTTCTAGGTCTTTTAACATTTATAAACTGTGCCTATGTTAAATGGGGAACACGTGTGCAGGATGTATTTACTTACGCCAAAGTTATCGCTCTCATTGCCATCATCATAGCTGGAGTTGTTAAAATATGCCAGGGTAAGCTTGTAAAATTAAAGCAAAGGTTTGTATTTATCAGTTAAACTGAGTAACTGCTCTAAGGACTGCAAACTGTGCTTTATGAGATGCCTCAGTACAAGGAGGATATAGGCACCTGGAAAACACCAGTAACACCACTGTTAGGCATTATCATGATGCTGTATTGGGAGATATCCAGCCTATCTCAGTTGACTTTGAACGGGGTGAAAAAAGGTATCTGATGGCTCAGCGATACTGTGCACTTTACAGCCTGCAGCATGGAATAATAAAGGAAATTAAACAGCCAAACACAGGGACAGCAAACCACAGTGGGAGTGGGGAAAGTTGTAAATTCCATCAAGAACTTAATGCTTTACAGTGAGATCAACTGAATATGTTTTTTTTACAAAATGAATTTTGTGCAAGTCTCAAAGTGTCTGGAATTAAAGCAGAAATAGAATATATAGGTAGATTTCTGAAACAGCAGCTCTGTTTTTCTCAAAGCCTGAGTTCTATTTTAGCTGTTGAGAATTAGAGAGTGTGTGTGTGTGTGTGTGTGTGTTGGGCATTGACCTTTAAGTCAGAGAAATTCTGAATTCAGTTTTGTTCTTAGCCCTTCCTTTGGGGAGAATGTGTTGGTGGGTTAGCTTAAAAAAATGCCCCTCCTGCCATAAAGGCTTGTCTTTCCCTGGCAGTCTGGCAGTTTATGTCTTCTGCTCTAACTGGTGGTTGTTGAAAGTTCATGAGCAAAGTAATTATTGTGAACGGGACAAGAACACGCAGTGTGTGAGCGCCATGTGAAGTGTTTCATCCTTAGCATATCAGCCCAGCCCTTGTTTTGTAGATACCAAGCTTGTTCTCAACTTGCTTTGTGTCTCCCATCTCTGTTTCTGACTCAGCAGTTACTCTGCCAATGTCTGTGCCAAGGGAATAGCAACCCAATATCTGATTGGGATAAAAAGCCAAGGGAATAGCAACCCAATATCTGATTGGGATAAAAAGCCAAGGGAATAGCAACCCAATATCTGATTGGGATAAAAAGCCAAGGGAATAGCAACCCAATATCTGATTGGGATAAAAAGCCAAGGGAATAGCAACCCAATATCTGATTGGGATAAGAAGTAGGGAAGGGAAGTAAAGATATTTGAGAGGCCACAAACATTAGCTTACACAGTAACTCACCTTTCTGTATTTGCTGGGTTTGTGTGTGTCTGTTTGTGTAAAACAGTCTGAATGTATAAACTGTCAGTGATGAACTTGTCTTGGGTTGCTTAAATCAAAAGATGGCACAAGTTTTCACAAATACTGGTGCAAAAACCATAACTTTTTCTCTTAGCTTGGGAAAATTTTGTGTCAAGTAACAGAAGTATTTTAAGTTCTGTTAATTTTTCTCAGTATTTGACTTTTAATAGCAAAAACTTAACATCCACTTAGGTGTTTGTGTAGGGTTATTTGTCATAGTTATCTAAAAACACCTGTAATCTTTGTTTTCTGCAGAGATGAAATGTTTAAAAATTTAAAAGGATATAGAAGAGTGGATTATTTTATAAATATATGTCATAAAAACTAACCTTAGCCTGAGTGCTGTTGTTTCCAGTTGTTTGTGGCTTAGTCTGAATTTAATGTTCCTGAACTTATTGTGCCATGGTGGACAAACCAGGTGTTTCACTGTAGAATGCTATCATCCACACCCCATGATTTTTAGTAGCTTTAAATCCTTGTTTTTGTGGCTAAAGCACAGAGAAGAATTGGAAAGAAGGTCTTAATAAGCAGATTTGAAGGAATTAAGGTTTCTGAGGTTTTTTGTGTGACAAATTGAAAAACATTATTTGCTGTATTTTAATTATGCTGTCCTTCATTGCATCTCTTCCACACACAGGGCATACATCACACTTTGAGAACTCTTTTGAGGGATCCTCTTTAAATATTGGAGACATCTCCCTTGCACTGTATTCTGCCTTGTTCTCTTACTCTGGTTGGGATACGCTCAATTTTGTAACAGAAGAAATCAAAAACCCAGAAAGGTAAATTGATTCAAGCTTTTTAAAACTGGATAGTTCCCAAGTTGCTTTGTTTGTGGTGTTATTCAGTAATGGGTTCTGAGCTTATACAGAGATAAGTAGAGCTGCTCGATACTTAGATGGTGAGGCTGTGAACAACCACTGGCAAAGATTTACTAAACTCTGTTAAAAATGGGAAAGAAAGAACAAGGTAAGAGTAACCACGTCTAGATACTGCTGGATGCTGGATTCAGTGCCTGTTAAGCTTTCAGTCCAAGATGTTGCTACTGTTTATTATAGTAGGTGTCAATATTGCAGTGGAACAGGTACCTAATTGTTATCTGTGCTCTGTTTATCAGTGTGACCATTCTGATTGTCTCACAGGGTGTTTAGATGATAAAAATGTATTCATAATCTTTTGCTCTGTGTAGACTTCAGTGCCTAATACAAGCTCTGTTCTTGGTAGAATTGTAGCTGTTAAAGTGAACTTCCAGTGTCAGCTTCCTGCATCGGCAGTTCCGGGCAATAATGAGGTTCAATTCCAGACTTTGTAAAATTACTGCAACAATTACGTATTTTTCACGTTCACTTGATTCTTGGTGTCCTCATGCTTGTCCTCTGAAAAGTTGCCATCCACAAGTTAAATTTAACATAGATGCTTGGTTTTTAATCTGGGATGATGCAAAGTCCTTAAAATACCATTTCAGCTTTTTGTTACTCTGTGTAACATTTCCGAATTAATTTCTCAGTGGTTTTCTAGTTCTGTTTCTTCTCTGTGCTGAGGTTCATGGGTCTCTTACTGTGGGTGTGCAACCTGGAAGCAGAGTCAGAACTCCCAGATACTGATTTACTGATTTATATGGGGCACTGTGGTGTATGTTTGCTTTTCTGCTTCCACAGCATCACAGAGACACAGCTGGACTTCTGGGCCTCAGGAAGTTTTTGAGGAAGCTTTCAAAGTTTTAGTCAGACTGATAATTTTTGTGCTTTGTTGGGGTTTCTTTGTTTTCGTTGTTGCTACTGAAAACAATGTTCACGGCAGGTGCTCACTGATGTCCCCATGCTGTGTTTGATTTCACACTGGGCAAATGGGAGAGTTCTGCTCTCAGAGCACTCTCTGTTCTGCTTCCCTTTTGGAAACATTTGAATATCCCTGCAAGGTTTGAGGAGAGACTAAGGCTGAGAAAAGCCAAAGCTCAACATCAAAAATTAGCTTTTGCTCTCTAGTTTCTTTCTGTGGAGCTGCAGACTCAGGACTGTGAGTTTATCTCACAACTAAATCTTATCTGTTTACATCTAGTGGTTAGCAGTGCTTTCTTGTTATTCTTGACTCTTTTTTGTATTGCTTTCTAGACATGTGCTTGCTAGTGATACACCACATCCTGAGTTCCCAGCTGGGTAGCACTTTTGGATCTGCACCTCTGTTCTCTGCAGTTGTGCAGCCATTGGTTTGTTCTCTGGATGGTGAGGGCAGATGGGAAGATGAGGGGTTTGGTTTGGTTTAGTGGATCTCCCTCCATCAGCTCTAGAAGCAGGTGGTAGAAGAATAGCTGCATGTCCCAGGGAGAGGGAGTGCAGTGCCTCGGTGCTCTGCCTCTTTGGGTTCTGGTTGTATGAGTTAACGTGGCCAGTAGGAAATCATTTAAAGCATGTGAATGTGAAGGCTACTGTTACAGATCTGGAAACCTTGAACTTGGGGTATTTGAAGAACGGTTGCATAGAATCGGTTTTTACATGTAATTTAGGCTTTGGGTTATTGTAAAAATTAAATTTTTTTCCAGTATTTTGCGTTAGAATTTTTAGTTTTAAAAGAAAGAAACCAAATCCTGGTTCCAGAGATTGAAATCTGTATTCTGGCTCCATAAAGGAGCCATAATTCTGTCTTTTGTAAAGGATACAAATAAAGTTAGTTTATTCTGTTATTAATGGATTTTTTTTTCTGCTCTTGTGGGGTTTGGGGTTTTTTTGTCTTCCAGGAACTTACCACTGGCTATTGCAGTGTCTATGCCAATTGTGACTATTATCTATATTATGACCAATATAGCTTACTATACAGTGCTGGATGCTCAAGCTGTTCTGTCTAGTGATGCCGTGGCAGTGGTAAGTTGACCATGTGGCATTTTGCTATTTTATTAACTTTGCACCTTTTAGGGATGCATTTCATTTTAAGGGGCAAAACAGAAAAACCCCCTAGTCTACTATAATGGTTACTGGGACACAGATCAGCCTGGGGTCTCCTCTGGATAACTTACAGCACCGTCTGCCCGACACTGTGGGTGTTTCCAACAACTTTAATATTCTGAAATTCATTTTTGTATATGGAAGGAAGTTGGAATCCCATTAAAATATATAAGCTTCTGAAAGTAAAAGCTGGTCAAAATGTGTTTCATATTTAAGCTAATCATTAAACAAAAGTGAAGGTTTGTTTTTTTCCCCTGTAACTAGTGAATTAACTGAATAGCTCTGGTTACTATATCCTTTAAGGTTGAGGCTTGGGAAAATTTCATCTTTTTGGTTATTTAAATTGGAGGAAAAGAAATAATACCATACCTTCCTTTTAGGTTCCTAATTGGCTTCTAAAATTTAAGTAGTTAGACAATGGACAGAGAGTTTTAAATACATCAAAATGAAGGAAGTATTTACTCTGTTTCCTCAGAGGATTACTGTGATTAAAAACTGGCTTAGCAAACCAGGAAACTCTTTTTTTAAGGCATTTAGGCAGATGGTTCCACAAAAGCACTTCACTTTATTTCAAACTTCACAAATACTTATATTTAGCGTGAACTTTCAAAATAGTTTATTGTAAATGTGGGTTGTGACTTTATTTCAAATGTAATTAAACAAACATTTATTTCAGAATGTATTGAAAGTAAATAAACTTAAATTCTTTACATCTTTTTAGCTGAAATGTGCAAATACAAATTTGTCATGAAATGTATATGAAAGACTTCCTGAAACACTTCAGAATGAAACAAAAGAAGGACAGAAAATATTTATTTTTGAATAAGCATATGCTAAGGGGTAGTAAAATATCCAGGAGTATTCATCTTTGTTGCAGGCTATAGTATCCCATATCAAGTACCTTCCAGTGACCAATAATGAAATTATTAATACTTGTCTATAGTTAATTAATCCAGACAAATCTAAAAGCCAATACACAGTCCACTGTGTGTCCTGATTTCTGTAAAGCAACACAGGTTTTTTTCCTATCACAACTTGAAAAACTTTGACAGCAGTGAAATTCTGCAGTGCAGTCCAGCCTGTCACCTGGGAGTGCTCTGTGCCCGCTGTGCCCCTTGTCATCGCAGAGGTTTGTACAGCCATGGAGAGTGGGATCAGGAACCCTGAGCCACCCTGGGAGCCTGGGGAAGGATTCCCTGGGGAAGGATTCCCTGGGGAAGGATTCCCTGGGGCTGCCCAGCCCGTGTTCCTGAACACACCAGGTGGTGCAGCAGCAATTGGTGGCCAGAGGAGTGAGGGGGGAGGAATGCCTGAATCTGGCTGCACATGTGAAACCCAGGCCTACATTTTTATGGGTTTATAGATGCTTCATTTAGTTGTTCTTTGGCACTGGTTTTTTTACCAAAAGTGAGTATATATTTATACATTTCTGTCTGTACACTGCTGGAATTGTAATACTCAGAACTGGACAGATTAGGCCTTCCTGTCTAGTATAGGATGCATCTGGGCATGGAGGAGAATAAAGGAAGACACAAGAATGATATGAAGTCCTTAGTCAATCTAATTGCATGCAGAGATATTAAGTGACCAGAATAAGAATGAAAAAATATGTTTGTGCATTCTAAAGTTGTTTCAGAAGTTTTGCTTCTTGGGCTAATTTTAATGGAACTTAACTGAATGAACAGCTTTGGAAATCTAGAACCACAATTTTTCACTAGATCTCAGGTTTGTCAGTACTTGAACTAAAAGCCAGACTAATGCTCTATCTAAAGGCATCTTTGCTGAAACGTCATATCAGCAATGGTCTTCTGGTTGCTGCTGCCTTATCCCTTTAGAAGGAGCAGCTGAAAGTGCAGCTGAAGTTTAATAATACTTAACACTTAATTCAGTGACGATTCCTTTTCGTTGCTGATGTAAATTCAGTTTCCCAGGTTTATGAAATCAACATTAGGTTTGATCTACTAATGCAATGGCAAGCTGTGTGGAGCTCTGGAAGGATGTCTGTGGAGTGGAGGAGTTGGCCCTGAGGGTCTGACACGTGCACTACACCTCTGATGAGGTCTGGGCTGAATGCTTGTGTGTGCTTGGATTGCAGGGGGGGTACAGCAGGTTTGCCCTTGCAGCTCATCTTCAATTTAGGCTGTTCCAGAAGGGAACCTCCCTTTAGCTCTGATGTTAAACAACGGGAACCAAAAAGCAGCAAGTGTCCATAATTTGGAGAATGCTTCAAAAGTGTACTTGCAGTCCAAATTCAAATACTCATCATGCACCCATAGTTTTTAGTGAATTCGTGGGGGATAAAAGCTAATGAGTGTATTTGAAAATCCTTCTATAATACAAAAATGTAAAAATCTTTATGGTGAAACTTCTCTGGGTGGTGGAAGAGAATTTATCCTCAGTGGAATCTTTAAGAAGACTTAAGGCACTGTGCTTAGTGGATGAATGAAGAAAGGAGGTGAGAATTAAGCTATTCAAAAACTTAATCTGATGAAAATGAGCCACTTTGATCTACTCACATACTCTACATGTGATACAGAATACTGAGTACTGTAGTTTCCTTATTGCCCTCTCTGTAATTTTAGGGTGAAAATGGCAATAATGAATTTTTAAAGAATTGTGGTAGTGATATTTCTGCATTTGAGAGCCCTTTGTGTAGTAAAGCAACAGTTCAATTTAATCTTTTTGCTATTTTGGGAAGGAAGGGAGTAGCTTTCTCCTTTTCACTCAAGAGGCTTTGAGCTGGAAAAAGGGGGCAAGTGGGAAGCTGTTTCTAGTTTCTGAATGATGGGAGCAAAAGTTTGAAGTAAAAGAAATATGAGTATATCTTCGAACATCGCCTTGCATACTATTTTTCTTGGTGGCTGGGAGGTGAAAGAAGTCTTACCAAGGGATTATATGAAAAAAGAAGTGATAAAATGTCCTCCTTTGACCTCAAAATTGGCTTCATTGTGGTATAGTCGCAATGCTGGGGCTAAGAAACTGGTTTTTAAAGCTTTTTTGTTGAAGTAATTTAAGTAATACAGCGACAGGTAGCTTAAAATTTCTGCAAATGCTCTTCAGGTGGTTGCTGATCATGTCAAATCACTTCCCTTTTCGAAGATTTCTGTCAGTTTCACACTTCTGATTTACCTCCTTGTGCAAACCATCACAACCTTTACATGCTTTAGAGCATGAAGCAGTTACTCTCTAGCACAAACACAAATAAATAAAAGCAGACATCTCACCTTCCCCTGTCACTAAACAACTTTTTTTTCATTTGAGACTGCTGTGGCATTCTTTGTTTGTGAAGGGGGCATCTGGTTCTACAAACACTTCATCATCTAACAGGAAAGAGCACAGCAGCTGCCAGAGCCTCCCCTGTTACCTGCTTCCTGTGCTGGGCATGCCTGGGGGTTCTGATTGAGCTCACGCAGTGGGTGACACCTGGCACCTTCCTTCTCCCACTTGGAAGCGCTAGAAGTGGTTGAAGCAAACAGTTGGTTGTCCTGCATAGGCGGTTGAGATCTTTGTGGAGCAGTACAGCTTTGTCACTAAGCTGGGGATAAAGAGGAGGGTTTCGGTGCATCTTCACAAATCACCTCACGAGCCAGCATTGACCAATCCAATTTACCTTGGTGTTCTCATATTCCAGAGCACACCAGCTCCCTCAGTGAACTGCAGGGGGGGAGGTGGTGTGTTTTAGCTGTTTGGTTCTTCTTTGGTGTATAGCTGAATAAATGATGATTCTCTCTTTTCTAACTGAATTCAGATAGAATTTTTTAAGTTATTCTTAGACCTTTTGGGTATTACTTCACTTCCTTCATTTGGCCAGTCACTGGCTTCTTTTCTAACAAGGAAAATCTGCTTGTCTTCAACTGTCAGTGTCATGTTCCTCTTCTTTGCTTGCACTGGCACTTCCCAGTAAGGTTTCTTTGGATGAAATGCACATTCCCTGCCTTATGATTGAAGAACTCTTCATTAGGGGCAGGCAGGTGCTTTCAGAGGAGAGCTGTTTAGTAAGTCATTTGCCTGCTTTCTTGGAGCCAGCTGTAACTCTGTACCAGTGCAGCACTCCTGATGCCAGTTATGTGCTTCTCTGGCTTTGGAGTCCAAGCTGAAAAGCTGAGCCAGAACTTGAAATAGTGCTACATAATATTTTCAGTGTGAGAAAGGTAAAGGACTTTGAAAAACGCTAAACTCTTATTCTACAGCTAGATATTAGAAATGCTGAGAACGGGACAGATCCCTGAGAAAATTCAGATCCAGGATCCTCAGCACCTCCATGAAAACACGAACAAAACTGTTTTACTGTTGAGCTGACATCTGTTACCTTAGTGTGGGCCATGCAGAAGAGACATGCTACGTGCAGTAGACCTGCAATATATTAATGCAGCACAGTAATGCTGGTTTCTCTTACCATAAGATTGTATGCAGTGACCTAAAGATGAGGAGGGAACTCCATGCTGGACCTTGCACTGCACTGGTACCTTTTCCTCCTAGAAAAGGCATTGCCAATAACACAAGGAGAGGATTATGTCTGTTTGAGCAAAATTGATCAACAGCGTGGTGGTTGAAACAAGAATTACAAGAAAAACGAACACTTAAATTGCTTTCCTTTGGAGCTTTACAATTTTCTGACTGTTTTTGGTTGATGTGCACTCTTTCCTTTCTTTAGTAAATGATGTTTCATTTGGTCAAGATGGAGAGATGTCATACAGTATTCTGACAATGTAGTCTGTGGCAGTGGGAGAACTTCATCTACTCAGGGGCTTTTTTTGCATGGACAGCTTCCTGATTGCCTTAAATCAGGGTTTGTTTCCTTTAGGAAACACCACCTTAGATGCCTGAGAAGTTTAAAATGGAGAAAACATTCTGTAGCTCTGACTGACAAATCTTCCTGGAATGTGTGAATGTATTTATACTCCACCTCAAGAGAAATGTCAAAGCAGAATTAATTGCACTTCCAAAATACCAGTCAGATTGTGCTTATATATGTGTGTGTGTGTATATATATATATATAAAAAACGTCCCCTTTCTGCTCTGTGTGGTTTTCAGGGTAAGAATGTTGTAGAACTGAGCCTGGAAAAGCTCCAGTGCCATAGGATCTTGAAAAGATGCCTTTTAAACTTTCCTAATAGAAACACCTCAGAATCTTTGGGTACAGTGCTATGTAAGTTTCTTACTCATGTTAGACTGCATTCTCTTGGCATTTATCCCTCCAGTCAGTACTGTTGAGTGCTTTGCCAGCCCAGCATGTGCTTGCAGCTCCACGTGCTCTCAGTGCAGTCTGGCATTTTTGTGTGCCTCTAAGTGCACTTTTTGTGTTCAGCTAAGTGTGATGAAACACTTCTCATCTCGTGATTTGTAACATAAATGTGGGTCTTGCTAATCATCTGTGTGCCTGAATTACCGAGTGTGAGGCAGCATTCTGTGTGTACTGTTGTGGCAGCTCTTTACACAGGCCAATTCACGCTCATTTTAGTTCAGCCTGTTTGTACAGAACTGTGGTTTGGACCTTTAAAGGGACAAAAAAGTGTTCTTGCAAACCACGCACAAGTTACCAGCTGATGATCATGAGATCAAACTAACCCAAGATAAAAAGAAAATGTAGTTAAACCAGTCATTCATGTCTTGAAACAAAGCTGTAATTCAGTTTTTGCCCATTCTTCTGGGAGTAATGTAACGTTTTAGCCATGATGAAATAAGGGCAGTTCAGTTGAGAAGTGCATGGCTGGAAACATCTTCCTTCATCTTCATTCCCTGTTGATGATTTGGGAAAAAAATAAGAGAGAACTAAGGGGAACAATTGCAGGTGCATGTCCTACAGTGAGCATGTATATGTGTATACCTTAGGTGTCCAGTGGATGGGAGGGCATAAAAGGACTTTATCTGTAATTGCAAGTGTTGTATCAGCCACTGAATCTCAGTTTCCTAACTGGTAGAAGGAGTTATAGTTCAAGTCTGGACTACAGGACTTGTCAGACTATAGCAGAGATGACAATTTAATCTCTTAATCCTTCTTGCTCTTTAGACTTTCTCAGAAGGAACCCGAGACGAAGTCCATCCTCATAGTGGTGACTTTCTCCCGTTATGGTGGACTAAATGCTTCTGCTTAGAGCTGCCTCCAGGTAGGCTCCTCTGTCATCCTCCACATACCCTTGAGAATGCTCCATTCTGCCTTTGTGCCACCTCATTTGTTTTTATAAATGCACTTCCCTACTCCCAGAAGCAGTGGCAGTTAAAGTGGAACTGGTGAGATGCTCAGTTCGGAGCCCAGGTCTGGCTCATTTGTGGAGGATCCGCCACTGGACAATTGCAGTTGGAGCAGAAAGCAGCCACTAACTCTTCTCCCCCCTTTTTTTTTTTTATTCTCTTGGTACAGTGCACTTGGTGTATGTGCTTGATAACTTGATTGCTTGTTGGACTTTTCTCTGCCCTGCCTTCTTGTGCAAAATAATCCTCTGACAAACGCACACGGTGAATGTTTATTGTGGCCGCTTTTACTGACGCTTTCAGTAACTCTTTCAGCAAGAAACACTGTAGAGATCTTTAGGTTTGTCTTTGTTCAAAAGACAGGATAGCTGAGCTTTGGAGAAGACATTTCTTGGCATCTGTTGAAAAGGGAGTGTTGAAGGATTTATAAATTTGTACTCAAGTGTTGAGTATTAGTACATGAACTTGTTAGAAATGAGGGTGAAACCCTGTCAGAAAACACCTGTAGGAAGGCAGGTGGTTCTTTATGTGTTGTGTTAAGCTAGTTAATATCACTAGAAAATTGAGGCCAAGTTTAGGTACCTTTCAACTTTGTTTTGCTTAAAGATATTTTTGCAGGCAGATCTACTTGGCAAACCAAGCTGAACTTTTTTTAGATGGTTCTCAATTAAAATAGTCTTTTACGTGACCTCACTTAGGAACAAGTTTAGTTCTCGAAGTTTCTGCACCCTTCGCTCTGTTGGGAATGCCACCTCCAGCATGAGAAAGTACACTGGAAATGAGAGTGCTTGCTAAAGGCTGTCACTGTGTTATCCTCTCTTTTCAGGAGTGTGACTTGTACAGATGTAGGGAAATTCCTTGTTTAGGCTTTGAGCTTGATCAGCAGTTGTTGTAGAACATCCAGAATACATTGAATCTTTAACATTTTGATCTGTATATAATTTGTGGTTTTTACTGCTCACATGAATGGTTGTTGTTTTCCAAGATGTGTGAAACAACATTAGCATATCTTAGAAAAATCAGATCTACAATATGGGATGGAAATGACCCTTGAGTTAGTCCTGCACCTGTCATTCCACACTGGCCCATTACTAGATGTTTCAGAAGGAAATGGAAAATGCTTGTTAAGAGTGCCTTTTGGAGGGAAAACATTTCTCCAAATCACATATCAGCTAATTTGCATCCTTCAGCATAAGGTTACATTCATACATTTTCTCTCTCTTCTTTAACTTTAGCTGTTAATATGACTATCTAAATGCTTATCCTTTAGGCAATCTTACTAAACATCTTAATTCTCTAACATCTTGAGTGAGTTCTATATCTTAGCTTTGTATATTTAAAAATCCTCTAGCAGTTTTAAATTTTGTGTCATGTAATTTCACTCGCTGTTTGGCTTCAGAAATCAGCAGTCCAGGTTTAAATAGTCCTTTAAACTATTACAACAATTGCCTGTTAGAGCTTTCATCTTGTCCTCATTCTCACTTGTCTGGAGAAGTTGTTTTAATTCACTCACTGGATCATAATGAAATACGTTCTCCATCAGGGTTTCTCAAAGCTGCATTTAGATCCAGTAAGGATCTGAGAGGAGCACTTTGGGATTCTAATAATTGTCTATTCTTGGGCTGCAGAAATCTTTTATATACAGTGATGTAAATTATGAGTCACGGTTTCTACTGATTGAAGAGTGATAATCCATGGCATACAGCACACATTTCTTATGGCATGGTCTTTTGCTAAATTGAAGTTCTGATCTCAGCCTGAAGTAGAATTTGTACATGGATTAGTTCTTTTATATTTGTCTGGTGTTAAGTTTTCTAATATCTGTGGGAATCTGTGTGCATCGGTCCACCCCCGTGTTGAAGCTCCATTTGGAGGGAACCTGTGGTAATAAATATAAACTAAAAGGGCTCAGGAAGGGAGGTGCTTTTTTGAGAAGCAGGGTGACTAACACGGTGTGTTGACTTTGACCCTTTTGGCAAAGTTCCCATTGAAGTGATTCTATGATTTTCACTGTCCTTCAGCAGCAGGAAATGCTATCTGCCTTTGCTGAGGCTCAACAAAATTACACAAAGGATGGAATACATTCTGCTTGTTAGTGTAAATGATGTTATACAGCCAAGCAGAGCTGGATTCCAGCCTTAACCTGAATAATGTGCTGAACATGGCGTTTTGCCAATGCTGACAAAGAACAGGAAACTTGAGCTGGCCAAGCTTTGTTTTATGTTAGTGAATTTCTCAGCATGGTTTAAAGATTGACTTTATATACAGGGTTTTGTCTCATGAAAATCAAACACTTATAACAAAATCCCCCAACTGTATAAAGTCATTTAGGCTTTTTTGACCTACAAAAACATTAAGAAAACAGATCATAATGCACTGCTCTTGGTGATCTTGTTCCTGCAGTAGTTAAATCAAAATGTGACCACTGTTTTATCAATATAACTTTCTATGGTACAAATAAAGGCCAGTTCTGAATGCTAACCACCTTTGACCGAGCTCCTTAGCTCATAAAGGTTAGGATGAAGACCACTAGTTTAAAGGGGAGGTCAAGGGGGAGGTGTTTCAAAATACTAAAATATTAAAAACTGAAGAAAATGTTTGTAATGGACAACCCTGCTGAAAGCTGAACTACTATATGTGCTTTGTATGTCTGAGGATCCTGAAATCCAAACAGCGAGAGAGAGAAGAGAAAGTGATTTAGAGAAAGGTTGGTAAAAACGTTCAGATTGCTGCTGCTTGCTAAGGTCAAAATGTTAGTCTTTGGAGTTTGTTTGAATACAAGTATTAGGTGTATAAAGGTACTTCTGTAAGTGTGTACCTTTCTGTTTCTATAAATAGTTATCTCATGCTGCCTAATGGAGATATGATTCTTCTTCTACCATGACTGTTAGTTTGCTTCTGTAAAAGAAATCATGGAAGCAATTTAGCCATCAGTAGGTAGAAATGGGATAGGTAGGAAGAGTTCCACCCACGTGGATGATGAGTTCTGTAGGTCACTTAGATAATAAAATATATTGGTGAGAAAATTCTCGGACCATTTTGTTTTTCTTTGTGAGCATTATTTTTGTGAGCAGTAAATGTGACTTCAGGTGCTTGGCTAAAGAAGTTTGTGCTTATTTAGAATTCATAAATAAAGAAGAAGGCTGTGAGCTGCTTTGTGCTGCATTATGGATTGTCCTTACTGTGTTACTGTTTTTCCATACAAACTCATTACACAAGCTCTGATGTCGTTGTTTTACGTACACTTTTTCACAGGTATTTTCATGTTTCCTTTTTCTTTTCCCTTTCATCAGACATTTGCTGACCAGGCATTTGGTAGCTTCAGCTGGACAATTCCCATTGCTGTAGCCTTTTCTTGTTTTGGTGGCCTCAATGCTTCAATTCTAGCATCATCAAGGTAGTGCATATCTCTTTCAGTTTGACAATAGAAAATTTGTTTCTGTTACTGTAGCTGTTGTCTATTTTAGCTGTAGCATGATTTTTTAAAAATAGATGTTAACAGCATGTTTCCAAAAAGCTTATATATCTTTTAATGGTTGTTGTGCAGTACATCTCTAAAAGAAGGGTTGAAGTTTAAAGGTCCCAGTTTAAAGGATGGAAATTGAGTGGTGTAAACATTATACTGGTTATTTTTTGATTTTCTTTAATACATTCTCTCTCACCTGTGGCCTCAACATGTGTTTTCTTACTGTTCTTTTCAGGCTATTTTTTGTAGGATCTCGAGAAGGTCACCTTCCTGACCTGTTGTCCATGATCCACTTAAGGAGGTTCACACCTGTGCCAGCACTGCTCTTCAATGTAAGTTGTTATTGCTTTCCTTTTCAACTTCTCAGATGGGAATTATTTAAAAGAACACTTTGAGAAATCCACGAGAGAGAACTTCAAATTAACTGGTATCAAGGTGCTTGCTGAAAGAGTGATTTGTGAGGCATAAAAGCATTCCATACACCAAGGAGTGCAAGGTGTTACTTCAAGCAAAAAGCAGCATAAACAGTAAGTTTCAATCTTTTGTTGTCGTTCTCACTCTTGTTCTTTTCTAACAGTGTATTATGACCCTTTTTTACCTGGCTGTGGAAGATGTCTTCAAGCTTATTAATTACTTCAGTTTCAGTTACTGGTTTTTTGTTGGTCTGTCTATTGCTGGACAGTTATATCTCCGTTGGAAAGAACCAGATCGACCCAGGCCTCTTAAGGTAACACTTATTACAGAGTTGTTTAAAATCGCTGTCTTCCATGTAATAAAATATATAAAAATACAAAAGCACTGTCTAAAATCTGGACCATACATTTTGTGTCTAAAGGTTACAAATTGATCAGGATGTAAAACATGGTTTCCATTTTATATTGTACAATGAAAGTTTGCTGGTCTCCTAGGGCAGAGATTGTTTGAGTAGTATATTACTGTGTGCTAGTTCAATCAGTATCCCTTCCCTCTGCCAACAAGAGAATGTCTCTAGAGGCTTACATAGTAGTCAGCTTTTTATCTTGAATTAGAAATCTCTGATAGGGAATGCTTAAATATCTCTGTCAGTGTGGATCACATTTAGTTCTGATGATATCTGATCCTCTAATGACCTTCTCATACTTTAAGTTGATGCTCCACACGAAGAAGTCATTCTGGTTTCCCAAGCTCTACTGGACTTTTCTAGAAACACTTCATGCCACTCTACAGCTTCTTTCAGCACAGCAGAGTTACCATACTTGTTAACTTCTGCAATTTCTAGCAGGAGTTCTGTTAAAAATAATTCTGCGATATTTGCTTATGGTTCTAAATAGCCAGATATAGAAGAGGAAGAGCAGATAATTTCACAAAGTGGGGTTGAGAGGGAAAAGTCTGTATCTCAGTGTTTGTAACTGCAGGCAATGAATATTTCAATAACATTCTGTTCTGTTTTTCTGTCTCCAGCTGAGTCTGGCTTTCCCAATAATATTCTGTATGTGCACAGTATTTCTGGTAGTAATGCCACTCTATAGCGACTTTATAAATTCAGTGATTGGAATTGGCATCGCTTTATCAGGAATTCCAGTCTTTCTCTTGGGAGTCTATTTACCTGCATCAAGGAGACCTCAATTTATTAACAAGATTTTAGGTAAGTTTCTTTGTAGCTGGAGATGTTGTCAGGAAAGAGGAAAATGAAATGGGTGAATCTCGGTGTGTTGATGAAAAGGGCTGTGGTGGGCTGACCCCAGCCAGCAGCAGAGCACCCACAGAGCCCCTGGCTCACCAGCACCCCCCAGCAGGGCTAGGGAGATAATTAGGAAGAGCAAAGGGGAGAAAAGACAGTTTAGTAAGTGAAGAGAGGGGAAAAACCCTGCAGCAGCAAGAGCAATCACTTACCACATCCCACAGCAGTCCAGTGTGCAGCCAGTCTCCAAGCAACAGCCAGATGGAAAGACACTCTCTCACATGCACACAGTTCTTGCTCTACCTGTCTTTAATCCTGAGCATGACATTATAGAGCATGAAATATCCCTTTGCCTGCCTCGGGTCTGCTGTTCTGGCCATCTTCCCTCCAAACTTCCTGCCCCTCCTCATCCTGCTGGTTGCAGGAAGGGCAGAATGGGAAGAAAGAAAAGAAGCCTCAACCCTGTGCTGTTCAGCAATAGCCAGAACATGGGTGTTACCAATCCCTTCTGAGCCACAAGCCCAGAACACTGCACCGTGTGTCTGCTGTGAACAGTGTTAGCTGCATTCCACACAGACCCACTGAAGATGTGCCCTCACTTTGGACTTGGTTACACCCACATTTTATTCCCTGTGTATTTAAAAGACCATCCACTTTCTAGCCACACATTTTGTCCTCAGTCTTTATACATTTCTCTTTAATTAAGCACAGGAAGAGTATTTTATTTTAAGCAAGGTTAATAACTGTGAAAGGGCTGGACATTTGTGGTAACACAAGCTAACTGTCCAGCTTTACTGAATCAGTTTTTAGATATGTGGGTCACAGATGGAATTTTGCCTTCTGTTGAATTATAGCAGTTAAATTTCACATTTTTCCCCAGCAGTGCACTGTTGTCACTGTTACTATGTGAGAAAAACACGATGAGGGATGTGGTAAGGAAGGTTTATAGCATAATCTTAGATTGAAAGAGGATGTGGTGCTGCAGCAGTAGCATATATGTAAATAATGAGTAATCTTGTAACTTTCCTGTGTGCTATTAGTTTTGGGTTTTTATTCAACCTATTTCACACTCTTAATCATAGAGAAAAAAGGTTTTATTTCAGTTACTTGGCAGGGTGTTTAGGAAGAAAAACACCTCAGGATAGCAACAGAACACTTTAAACAGTATCTGTTTAAAAAAAAATAAACGAGTGGAAGACAGTTATTGTATTAACTCCTATTGTTTGTTTCCCTGAAGGGAGGTGAGGCAGCTTTCCTGACAGCTCTCATTACTCAGATGCTGCTGTGTAATTAGAGTGGAGATTCGTGACTGTTGTTCTCATGTCTCCCATTTCCTGTGCAGGTGCAGTCACACGGAACATGCAGCTGCTCTGTTACTGTGTTCTAACAGAGATGGACACAAATGAGGAGAAGAAGTCAGAAAGAAAATCCAACTAAAATTTAAAGCCATTACAAGAAGCAGGAGGAAGGATACAGCAGTTAAAACAACTATAAAGGGAAGAGGTAGAACTGGAAAAAAGGGGAAAACTGTTTCCAGTGGTCTTTTAGAAATACTGAAAATGTCCTTACAGCGGGATTCCCACCGAGATCACGCCCTTACGTCACACTCCTGAAGTGGGACGTGTTTCCAGGGCGTGTTTTCCGTGGGTGATGAGAACCTGCCCTTCCAGGCACAGCAGCTGTGCGTCACTAAGGTTCCTCCAGAATCGCATTCCAGTGGTGAGAGCTCCCGGATCAAATTCCATTGCTGCACAGCCACTGGAGTAATGCATCTTAACTTACACTGAAAACCACTCTGACTCAAAAGACCAAGTCATTTCCAGCTTCATTCTGATGGATTTTTGCATGAAATGATTTGCTGTGCTATCTCAGTTCTTATCCCAGAAGACAACTGCTTACAACTACCTACCCAATTCGTCATTGAGAAGAAAAATGAATAAAGTTGTGCTCCATTATTTAAAGACTGAACCAACTTTTCTCCCTTAGAGATAAGTGTTTTATGCCACATACTACATGGAATTGTGGTATCTGACTGTGGCAGATTTAATCAACAAAGCACCTTGGCACTGAAGATTTGATTACCTTTGATGATTCTTTCTTGCAAGCTTGTTATTGGTGAACTTCTGCTAGGTTTTATGAAATTTTCAAAATTAAAATGTTCAGTTTGAAGCCTGTAAGCATTTGTTTCTGAGCTGTTTCAGTGAACACCCAGTAGCCTTGTGACCTTAGCAGTCAGAAAATTCCCCTTATTAATATCAGTGCTGTTCACCAGAAAATGACCACCTCACAAAAGAAATTACTCTTTTTTTTCCTCAGCAGCAGAAGTTCTGTGGCAACAACTAGATCCTGAAAGCTAAGCAGCAGGGAGAGAAAGCAGAAATAAAAATGAAAGTACTACTGCATCACAGACATGCTAATGAGTAGTATTTGTAATTCCACAGCTGTAAGGCTGACAGCAGGACATTTTTAATACTGAATTTTAGTGCAGTGAAAGGCAAGAAGCAGCCAGCCTCTTTGGCTACAAGAGTGAGATGTACTTCAGAAACATACCTGGCATCTTTACCTTAGCTCAGAACGTCTCGCTCAGCTGATCTGAGATTGGCCACAGGTACTGTTTTGTGCATTTAAGTTGAACTAAATATTGTAATCAGATTCTGGCTGAAGCAATGCACACTTCCAGCGGTGCACCACATTTGCATCAGCCACTTGAACTAACAAGTGGGAATATTTGCACTTCTGCACTGACTCCATGACTAAGGTTATCTTGGAAAGTACAGATAATGGCACATGGTAGTAGATGGTGAAGACTAACATGAAATGGAGCCCTGGGATACATTTATGAAGCAGCATTGGGATTTAAGATAGTTACATTCTAGCTGAGGAAGTTACATGCCAACTAAAAACTATCATTTAGCTATTTTAATCCAGCTTTTTAATCTTGCATATGGTTGGAATAAATTCAGCATCCAAACTGAGACATCTGTCCAGTGAGCAAGTATAGCTTCAACAGGCACAGGTTGTGGCAAAGGTAACAAAGGTTATCTGTGGCCAGATAACCTTTCTCTGAAACCAACAAAAAACCCCTTTGCCTCCACTACTTGGACTTTACCAGTCAGAACTCACTGGCCTAAAGTCCCTGCTGCAGCCTAAAGCTCTTGCATGACATTGATGTAACATCCTATCAGCTATTCTTTACAGACTCGAGCAGGATAGTGCTGAAATACTTTGTGTGTTCAAACACGTAGGATTACATTGTTTTAAAGGTGTATAAACGCAAGTTAAGATAGTGGCGTGGGTCCTGCTGTACCAGCTTCTTATGATCTTTAAATGAGTACAGAAAACTTAGTCAAAACATTTTTATTTACAATTTAAGCATGCATTGTTCTACTCCAACAGTAAAACTACTGGGAGAGTAATGGACAGGTCAAGGCATTTCATATTCTCCAACACTTGTAAAGAAAGTAAGTCGAGACTCAGAAACAAATACAGTAGAAAGCACTAGGACAGTGCCTTTCTCAAAGACTTCCACTTGCCAGTGGGGCAGACACATTGATCTTCTTGTGAAACCTGACACATTAGGGCTGCTGCCAGCAGTTCCTTCATGGATAACCTGGAGGTATGGTCACTGCAGGTACAAATGCTTGGGCAGGGAGCTTTGGGGAAAAAAAGTTCCTTCAGAACCTCAGTACACACAGTGGGCAGAAAGACTACAACACTTGGGCTTCGAAGAAAAATCTGTGTTGTCAACTCACACCCCTCTGTTCAGTATTTACCAGCTGAAGGTGGCTGTTCAGATGGTGCGTTCTCCTACAGCAGGAGAATTTCATCTTCAGTAAACCTTTCATCTTCAAAAAAGAACTGTTAGTCAGAATCCAAATCTTCCATCTCATCGTATCCAAATTCCTGTAGAACCTCCTGTCGGTATTTGTCCCACGTTCTTCTCCTGTAATATTGGTCCTCATCACTGGAGCTCTCTTCAGGCTCTACAAAAAGAGCATCAACACTAGTAGATTATCCCTTCTTTTTAGTTAAATAAGTTAATCAGACTATTTTAAGCTTCTTGTGGAACTAACAAAGTCTGAACAACTTCTGTATTAGGTGAGGTTTGAGTTGTGCTTGGAGTACTCTGGGATGGGGACTTGAGAAGGCAGAGGCAGCATTTCACAAATACGTGGACCCAAGTCGTGGATTCCTTCTCAAAGCAAACAATCCTTTGCAATTGCAGCAATCTGAAAATGACTTCTTAATTTTGACTTTGCAAAAACAGTCTTCAAGCTCCAAGAAAGATAATCTTCCTCTAAGCAGATTTTACCCATTTTAAGAGCAGAACACTGTCCTAGCACTGCTCATTTTAGTTGCTTTTTGAGTATGTAAAAAGAATGAGATTTATACAGGCACAGCAGGAAAGGAAAAAGCATTTATTACAGGTGTACCTTTTTCTCCATCTTCCTCAGGTAAGAATTCATCTTCTTCAGGATAATCATTACGCCAGTTATTTTCATCATTTTCATCATCTTCATCTTCATATACTTCCTCTGGAACAGGATCATCATTCACCTGCATGGCAACACAAAACATAACACTGAGTGTCTGTATTTGTAGTGAATGTTAAGTGGGTTTTCATCCACCTATGCAATACTATACAGACCAGAAAGAGCCAAGAGGCACTCACTGATGACATAAGGAAATCTGCAGTTACACAAAGCACATTGCAGAAAAATTGGACTTGTCAGTATGTTCACCATAACACTTCAAATACGCTTTAGCTGAAAAATCAGTTGAGTTGCACATTCACATGTTCCACTTCAGTATTTAAATGTTAATGTCTAACTTAATGCTACTCACTTCAGCAGCAGTGTTATAGATCAAGGAAAAGAAAAAGTAGCTTCATGTTTCCAATGTGTCAATCTATTGATCACAGTATCTATAGAACAAAAGACTGAAGCTTACATTACTTCCTAACTCCACAGTCAATGAAGGACAATTCTACTATGAACAAGTATCTCATTTGAAGGTTAAAGCCAAGTCCTGAAATACTGATAAAGTTGTGTGCCCCCCTTGCTCCTCTTTCCACTCAGACATATTAACGATATTTTAATTACTGCCTCCTAATCACAAATGAGACATGAATTACTCAAGTTTACATTTGGGTGCCAAAATGTAATTGGCAGTTTGAAACCAGGTGGATTTTTCTGAGTCTTCACTGCCATATCATGATTTCCCTGTATGAACAGTAACCTGCAGGAACACATGACTAGCACTTATCAAAGGCCTAAGGCAGAAGTCACTGAGCAAATGTGTAGTATTTACCTCAAAGGACCTTTCTTGGCATGGCAGTTCTTAATGACAGGCTTTAAAGCATTTATTTGCGACCTTTCTATTTAAGAAAGACGGTTTTTTCCACACCCTTACCCACTCATATTCTTCTCTGTAGGGCTGTACAGAGAGGATATTTTCAATCCAACCAGGGGCTGATGTTTCCTTATAGTAGATGTCATAAACATACTCATCTTCCTTGTCATGGTGTTTTTTAGCATCTTCAGAAACATTTAAACGCTCACGGATCATCTCTACTGCATTGCAGAGAATCACATCTGGATCAATCTTCTGCTGAGAAAAAATAAAAAATGTTTATTTCCACTCAGTTCATGCAGACAAAGTCTTGGTTACAGCCACCAGTTTTCTTTGCAGCTAACTAAGCATGACATCCTGCCATCTGAGACCAAAACACTTTCCTACTGGAATGCTTTTACACCACGAGCAACCTCGAACAGAAAGACACTGAGGAATTTCCCAATTACTGTGGGACTGTGCATGTTTCAGTAGCACATGTTTCAGGTAATAAGAGAAAACAACTGACCAGTTCATTAGAAACTACTGAAGGGGAAATGAACAGGGCACAGAAAAAGCAAGGTGGTAAAGCCCTGCCTGTAGCAGCCACTCCACGGTCCGTCTAAACAACATCAGTGCACTTAAGGATCCTCATGGAAGTTAGTCTCTGTACAGTATTCCAATTTCCAAATATCTAGTTAAGGCTCCTATTAAACAGTGAATACTTACAGTGCAAACAAACTCCCACAGCACTCTGCCCACACATACCACTGGACAGCGATACCAAAGTACTTCAAGAACACTAAGCTGATTTGCTGACCTGTGAATTTGCAGAGGTTATGCTGGAGTCTCCCACCATCTCCTCTTCTTGGACAATATCAAACAACTGGAACTTCGCACAGCAGTCCGAACTCTTATCAACAGCACCACCCTCCTCTTGTGCAGCATCTTCCTTTGCTCCAGAGTCTGACCTGTCCCCATCAGCGGGAGCCTCAGCACTTGCAGCAGGTGCAGCTGTCTCAGTGCAGTCAGGTCGATGGCTGGCTATTACACGGTAGCGGTTTTCCTTCCTTTTCACTTGCTTGGAAGAACGGAGCTCCTGAATGATTCTCTGAGTGCTTCCCACAGAGGGCCGCAGACTCTGAGCTGCTTTGTCTCGTGTGATGGCATCCTTAACGTATTTCTGAACTGGTTCATTCTGAGCAGAGGAGCAAAAAGGCAGAGAAATGGAACGACACTATCAACATAGTAGGTCCTACTCCTTCCTAGAAGGGATTAATGACTACTAGTATGAGTGCAATAAGAACTGCAGCATTAATCTTCCTAACATTCAGTTAACTTCTGCAATTGCTTTAAGTAACACAATAATCAATATTCACTTGATATCAGGGGAAAAGAGCAGAAGATATAGAAGGAAAGTTCTAAGACTGTTTCAATTTGATTTTTAAACAACTTTGTGGTATGGAATAACCGTCCAAACAAAAACAAATGCCTTTGGAAGACTGCGATGGACCTGAATTTAGGGCAAAATATCCTTTACAGTGTCCTGCAAAGGTCATTTCCCAAGCCATCCCAGATTTATTCGGTATATAAGGCCAGATAGTGGACGGTAGTTGTTATCCTTGTAGGGCTGAGCTTCAGCACCTCAAACAGCAGACATTCAGGCCTCACTTACTGACTGTTCTGTGGTCTCTACGTGAGGAACAGTGTGTCAGTACCGAAAAGCTGAACACAGCTTTTCACGGCGGTCCCTGTGCAGTGCCCGTCACTCTGGTCCTGCCCGGCAGGAGCAGCGCCGGCCTCGGGCACGGCCAGGACACGCCGCTACTCCAGAGCCGAGCCCACAGGGGACCCCGAAAGAGCCGCGGGGAGCAGCGGCAGACCCAGAGAGAGCCCCGGCTGGGCCAAACCGCCCCCCGCCCCGCGGTACCTTGGAGGACACGGTGGCCACCAGCTTGAAGAGGCTCCTCTCCACCGGCTCCTGGCGGCGCCGCTTGCAGGCGAGGAGCAGCGCCTCGGCCGGCTCGGGGCCGCCGCGCTTCCTCTGCACCCGCAGCACGGCCGCGGAGGCCATGGCCCAGGGGAGGGGAAGGGAAAGGGAGGGGAAGGGAAGGGGCGGGCTCCCGGCGGGAAGGGGCGGGCTCCGGGCGCTGCTGGGCCGTGGCGGGCCGCGCGGGGCGGCGGTGGCGGCGGGAGCCGTGAGGGGGCCCGGGCCGCGCGGGGCTGTGGCAGAGCCGGGAGGTGCCGGAGGGAGCCGTGAGGGGGCTGTCCACGCGGGGCGGTGGTGTCGGTGGGTGCCGGAGGGAGCCGTGAGGGGGCTGTCCACGCGGGGCAGTGGTGTCGGTGGGTGCCGGCGGGAGCCGTGAGGGGGCTGTCCACGCGGGGCGGTGGTGTCGGTGGGTGCCGGAGGGAGCCGTGAGGGGGCCCGGTCCGGGCGGGGCTGTGGCAGAGGCGGGAGGTGCCGGAGGGAGCCGTGAGGGGGCCCGGCCCGCGGGCTGTCTCGGGGAATGGCACACAACGCCCTCGCTGCCCCCATCGCTGCCCCTCCCGAGGCGGGAGGGTCCGGGCCTGCCCCGGGGGTGTGCGGGCTCTCGGCCCGGGCTCCGCACGGCCCTCCTCGGGCACGGGGTATGTGGGGACCCCCGGGACGGAGCGGGAGGGGTTTTCCCCGAGGATTTACCTTGAGGTGATTTTGTGTTGGGGCTGAGTCCTGAGCGGGACTGGGTGACGCGTTTTAGCTTTAAACACCGTTGTAGAAAAAGCGTGAAGCGGCTTCTGTCCGAGGCCCGTGTAACAGGTACCAGAGCTCAAGGGATGGCTAAAGTTCCAGTTGGTTTCACTGGAAGTTTTGTGTTTGGTTTGTGTTTTTTTCACAGCCAGTGTCTGGTGTATTACTGAGTGAAAGCAGCAAAACTGCACATAATACATCAATCATACAGTACAAGTTGAGACTGGTCATGAAGACCTTCTGTGGAAGAGCTAATCCAACCACTGGTGCCATGGAGTGGTTAGAGGAGGCTGAGGACTATGACTACCACCAGGAGATTGCCAGGTATGATGGAAAAAGGTGCTTGTTCCCCTAAAGCCACCACAAAAGAGCAGACCCAGCTTGTTTTTGTGTCAGTTTTGGGGTTTATGTTTGTAGAAGTTCTAAGAGCGTGAGTTGGACAGACTGTAGGATAGCCTCAATGTCAGCGAATGTGCCTGGTGTTGTACAAGGCAGAACTGTCAGTGTAGAATTTTGTAAACTGTTTTCCAAGTTGATTCCTTTTAAACTTTTTAAAATGTTTTCTGAGGTGCTGATCCTCATACTGCCAATGACTGAGTTGTGGCAAAATGCATTGACTAAATTTCTTTTAAATCCCAATGCAATAAATGTCAAATTGCAAAAATGCCAATTATCTGTTACTGTACTAACTTTTTAAGAGCTTAACATAACAGCCAGAGTAGGTGGAAAGATTAGATTTTGGGGTATTTTTAAGTAGTGCAACCCATGAAGAAATGGGGAGCAGAGAAATTTAAATCTCTGTATTGATCCATTGCTGAGGGGAGGATATGTGTCAGCAATTAATTAATTCATTTATATGTCGATGGCCACGTCGTTGAAATCATGTTATTCCTTAGATTTGGTAGATAGTTCAGATGCTCAAAGAGCATGTCAGCTGTTTGTGCATTTATGGGCCATGGGGACCAGTTGCCTTAGTAAGAGGAAACAAGGGAGGCTCTCTGAGATCCTGCAGTTTGTTGTGCTTTGCAGTACGGAATATTTTGACTGGAGTTTTGTTTTTGTAGGTCACGCTATGCAGATATGCTTCACGATAAAGACAGAGTAAGTACGGAGGCCAAAAGCTTTTGAATGGCCATTTCCTTTCTCTTGAATAGCTGCCACTGCATGATTATATAGGTTTCTCTGAAAGATTAAATGATCACATTTTTGTACCCTATAAGATAGCAGGCCTGCTCTTGGATCAACAGATGCCTTCCTACATCTGACTTTTGTGTTCTGTTGTTTACTGAACAACATATTTACGTTCAGCAGCTGATTTTGCTGTTCTGTGTTTGACGTTTATGACAGAGCTCATTAGGTGAAATTTGCAGGGCTGTTGAAGTGAAGCTTGGCTTCTTAGACTTTACTTACACTCCTGTAAAAATTCTCTTTATTCTTCTGTGGTATTTTTACTATGTTTGCAGGCATGTTGAAGTCTGGAGGGATTAATTTAAATGTTCTGCTCTAGTTATTTAGTCAATCATTCCATCAATAACCTTTTGAAAGACTTTTATGGTGCCTCCACAATGAGTCTTGAATTTATATTGCATTAAGATACATCAGTGGGATCAAGCATTTAATAAACTGTGTAGAGACAGCAAATTGTGTCTGAGTAATTAAAACAACTCTAGTGAAATTCTGTATATGGAGAGGGTTAACTAGAATTGTTCCGAAAGGAATCCAGCAGACCTTCCAAATGTATTGTGTTCAAAGGTAGTGTAATCTTTGGAAAGGCTTGAAAACCATTTGGAAAGGACTGTCTTAACGATAGCCTATTATAAAGGAAATACAGGTATATATTTCAGTGTGTATCCTGTAGCTGACAGGGGACACCATTTGTTTTTATCCTGTTTTGATGCAGGTGTGCTCGTAGCCCCATTTAATGGCATGTAACCAAAGCCCACTATTTACACATGTTGCTTCTCATGGATGAACATTTTTCAGCAGATGAAGAGAGGAACCTAAATCCAAGATACTTTAGCTCCTGTAATGTCAGAGTCAGTTTATGACTATATGAATGGTGCTGCAGGGGAAAATTTTAGTATTTTTTGCTCCAGAAAATGTATCACATTTAGAAATTATGCATGTGGTATGAATAGCTGATTGACCAGTGACAACGTGAAGATTAATTAGATGTACTTTAAGTGGGCCGATCCCACCAGATACACTTGCTTTTGCTGGAGATGGCTTTGGTGTGACTGTAAGGTATAAAGAATGTCTGTAGGCGTTTCTCTGCTTATAAAGTTGTGGTAGTGTAAATGGATAAAAGGTTTTTCTTCTCCCCAGAATGTGAAGTACTACCAAGGTATTCGTGCTGCAGTGAGCAGGGTGAAGGAAAGAGGGGAGAAAGCAATAGTTCTGGACATAGGCACTGGCACAGGACTCCTGTCCATGATGGCAGCTTCAGCTGGGGCAGATTTCTGCTATGCAGTTGAGGTGAGCATTTGTTAGGGGTTGCACATGTGCTGCATGTGTGTTCATAGCTGCGTTTTCAAGCTTCAGTGCAGTTCTGTCTGCACAATCAGTGGGGTGGATGCATTTGTTATTTTCTGGGGTGGCTGAAGAGCAAACTCAAGCCTTTTATGTGTCAAAACCACCTAGGTCTTACAAGAACATAGTTGAAAAGGTATGGTATATTTTTCATTTCTAGGACAGTTTCTGTAAAGTGTCAAGTTTTCTAGTATTTCATTGTCTCTACTTTTAATCAAAAATCAGGTGTAATATAGAGCTTTAACCGTGCTTTTGAAAAACGTCAGTATTTTCTAACCATATTGCTGATCTTTAGAAGTTTTAACTCTTGGAGATGGGTTCTCAGACCACTTAATCATAACCTCAACTGGATTGTAATAAAGAGGCTGTTTCATGAACTGATTTTTCCGTCTCTCTGCAATGAGATAGAGCATCTCCTTTTTTATTGGCAATTAAGAAACATCCTGATTGTCATTAATAGCCATTACTCATATTAAGGATAATACCAGGAACATTTTGGCCAGTTTAGGGGGTTTTTGATGCCATTAAAGAAACAAAGAGAAGATCCACTTGTCTATAGGGTCTGGTTGAAAGAGTGCTGGGGGATTTCCACCCAAGTAGACATCTATGTTGTTTTTTTATTCTAGAATTTTAGCTGATGTTCGTTTTTCAGGGACAGTCCTCTTTCACATAGCCATCAGAGAGGTTTGTGCTGGTTTCCAAAGTGACCACAAGTGTGGTAGCCAAATTGTGTAACTGGATGGAACACTGAAAATTTTTGAGTTTAAAAACTGGATATGAATATTAAACCCTTTCAGCATATTCTTGGTCATTTTGTTATTTTTGCTGTGAAGGAAACAAAAATTCTTTTCGCATTTATGCTGTTAGTAAAAGCAGATTTTTGGCATACTTCAGTGACTATTTCAGTGCTGATTGTTTTGAGTTCATTTTTTTATTTAGATATTATCTTGGGCACGTGCAAGTCTCTTGTGGCTTCTCTTGATGCATATATGTATTTTTCCAAATAAATAAGTTTGCTTAATGTGAACGCTAAAATACTTTTCATATGTGTTCTTGTCTTTCAAAAGTTCAATTGGAGCAGCTTTTGGAGATACTCAGTTTGTAACAGTGACATTGGAGCTCTATGAATTTTTCAAGCAAGGCTCACTGTCTTGTTTCATGGTATTGGGCTTCAGACATAGGAGAAGATACAGAAGTTGTTGAGTTGTTTCAGAACTAAATATATTGCATTTTGTGCTGGTGTCCTTTCACTTTTGAAAGCTAATGTGAGCTACCATTTTGCTATACTCTTGTGATTCACAGGTTTTCAGGCCCATGGCTAATGCTGCTGTGAAGATAGTGGAGAAAAATGGTTTTTCTGACAAGATTAAGGTAATCAAGAAGCACTCCACTGAAGTCACAGTTGGCCCAGGTGAGAAAAATAGGCTAGGCTTAAAAAATTGGCAAGTGCCTGAAAACCATGAAGGAATATGTCTTATTGTCCATATGTCTGTAATTAGAACAGCTAATCCTCATGGAGGGTCTGGAGCACAAGTCTTTTGAGGAGTGGCTGAGGGATCCAGGGTTGTTTTTTTAGGCTGGAGAAAAGGAGGCAGAGGGGGGAGCTTATCGCTCTCTGCAACTGTCTGAAAGGGGGTTGTAATTGGGGGGGTTGAGCTCTTCTCCCAGGTAACAGGTGGCAGGACAACAGGAGATGACCTCGAGTTGTGCCAGAGTATGTTTGGGTTGGATATTAGGAAAAATATTTTATGGAAAGGGTTGTAAAGCATTGAACAGACTGTCCAGAGAAGGGATGGAGTCACCATCCCTGGAAGTGTTCAGAAAACAGGTGGATGTGGCACTTGAAAACATGGTTTAATTGTGAACATGGTGGTAGTGCTGGGTTGATGGTTGGACTCGATGGTCTTTTCCAACCTCAACTGTTCTATTACTCTTGAAAGTAATACTGGAAATTTACTTCAAAAGGAAGTGTTCTGGTGATATTTCAGTAGCCATTTGTATTTCATAGTAGACTTCTAAATGAAAATTATTTGCAGTCTTCAGCAGATTCTCTAACAGGAATAAGTTTTTTAATTACTTGTGTTCTTAGGATAGCATTTTCGTGAAAGACTTACATAAAGGCTTAATATTACAACATTTGTACCTTTTAGATGGAGATATGGAATGTCGTGCAAACATCCTGGTCACAGAGTTATTTGATACAGAGCTGATAGGAGAAGGAGCTTTACCGACATATGAGCACGCACACAAATATCTTGTACAGGTAAGAAAGCAGAAAATGATAGTGTGTCACATCTATCCCTAGAGAAATCCTTCTGCCGTTTTTTGGACTAAGAGATTATACTTGGGCTTCTGCATCCCTTGGTAAGTACACCATCAGCTGTGTGTTTCTTATTGAGTGAATAATTTACTGGGCTCATTCCTGGTACCTGAGTTCATTTGTAGATCACAGGCTCTGAAACTGCACCCAGCTGCTTTGTGTTGAAACCAACACTTGCTGGTGAACAAATGTCTTTTGGTTATAATTTGAAGCTCTCCTTAATAACATCCTTGTTCCAAGGTGTTTTAAAAAAATTAAATTCTTGTAAATTTGATGGGCCTCACCTCCCGGGCATTGCTTTTTTTTTTGGTGGACATCAAGGTTAGCTCTTAGTGGGATTGTTAGGACAACTTGTACCTTTTCTACTCTTTAAACATGCATACAAAATTGTCATTGCATAAATATTTGAGCCATTGTTTTTCTTATTTTCTCATTGCAATCACCAACTCTCTTTTATTGCTGATAGCCTACTAGTTTTCTGCCTTGAGAAGCTCAAGATAGATCTCTTATTTCAGAATGAGAATGGAAATGCAAATCTAAGTGAGGCTGTTAAACTGATAATATTGTGTGGTTAATAAAGTATCTGGCCTTGCTGAACCAGATGGAACAGGATAGATACATTGATTGTATTTCAGAGAGACAGATGCTCTGATGTTACAAAAGTCTCCAAAATAACTTGCGTTTTAAGATTTCAAAGCTCCCAGTCCAACTTTTCTTTATATGGGTTTGCATTTCAGTTGCTTTAATTCTCATTCATGTTAATAAGTCAGACCTGTTGAATGTATTTACCCTTTGTTTTGACCACTCAGGAAGGATGTGAGGCAGTGCCTCACAGGGCAACAGTGTATGTCCAGTTAGTGGAATCCAAAAGAATGTGGGCCTGGAACAAACTGTTTCCCGTTCATGTCGAAGCAGAGGATGGTGAAAAAATTATTGTTCCCCCTTCAGAAATGGAGAACTGTCCAGGTGTTCCTTCTGTTTGTGATATCCAACTGAACCAGATGCCCTCAAGCGACTTCAGTGCCCTTAGTGATGTGGTGACAATGTTCAGGTAAGGCAGACATTGTTTTGTCCTTTCACAGAAATTGTGATCAGCTTAGGAAGCTGATGAGAATTTCTGCAGGCTGATGTACTGTATGTTTTTCCAATTTTTATGCCTCTCTGCAGTGTGGATTTCAGTAAGCCAGTACAGAGTGCTTCAACCTGCTATAGAGTGCAGCTGGAGTCTGTTAAATCTGGGAAGGCACAAATTGTTCTTTCCTGGTGGGACATTGACATGGACCCCTCTGGGATGATAAACTGCACGATGGCTCCCTACTGGGTAAACCCCACTTCTGCTTTGCAGGTAAAATCCTGAGCCTTCAGACACCATTGTCACGTGGCTATGAGCAACTGTCTTGAGTAAAGGCCTTACTGGGTGTTTTCAGCAGCTCTCCCTTAAATTGTTTAGGAACTTTGCTATGTTTAATGTATTTGAAGATGCTAAATGTGTAAACTGTAGACATGTTAACTATATTATGTACCCATTTTAGGTGTTCTTTAATGTTAAACTTTAAAAGTAATCCTTTATGTAAAGCTTAAATTCTGAAGCCATCTTCCAGATACGGTTATTTCTTTTACTTTCAAGAAGTAATACAAAAATTTCCATATATTTTTTTCTTTAACTGGTCTCTATCCATGCTGTGATTTGCCTCTGTGTAGTTCTTCTATTAAATTTCCAAAATGTTTAGTTTATGGTAACATATTTATACTCTCATAGAAAAAAAAAAAAGGCTGGTGTAAGAAAATACTGGGTTGATACTAGATAATTAGAGAAACAGGTGAGCACTATTACATCAGATTCCTGTGGTTTTGCATGAATGTATTTACTAGTAGGATGAACATGGTCAAAAGGAAGTTACAAAATGATTGTTGGTACTTACCATGTTTGAGAATAAAATTTGAAACTATCAAGCTTCAGGGCCTTCAGTCAGCTTAGAATGGCTAATCAGCATGGAATACTTACAGTGCAAAAAACGGCTTTTTGAAACACAAAATAGTTGCCCTGTCAGTGCAGTGACACTGAGTGACCTCACTTGGGGCACGAGGCTCCAGCCACAGGTCCCTGTCAGTATTTGATAGAGGTTTCTAAGATCAGTGAACTACAGAGGTGAAACAGCATCAATAAATGCAAAGCAATTTTGGATTTGTTTTTCATGTGGTTGAAATAGAAGCTTAGCTAGTGAGCAAGCCAGTGGTCTCAGGCTTATTTTGTGAGAAATGTATACAGAGCACATTTATTCAGTACATGTTATTGGTCTTTATTCAGCCTTGCTGATGTGACCAGGATTCGTTCAGTCAATCATGCATCAGTCCTTCAGATTTGTGCCCACTCTTCCCAGTTGTTTTCCCGCTGTTTGTTTGCTTTCCATTCACTGTTTATGCATGGGTTGCTGAGAGGTTGTGTGTGACCCTTTTCAGTGGAGGGATCACTGGATGCAGTGTGTGTATTTCCTGCCCAAGGAGGAGCCGGTCGTGCAGGGTGAGAAGGTGCACCTGACTGCCTGTCGGGACGAGTACTCTGTGTGGTACACACTGCAGAAAGCCAGGTAACAACTCAGGGGGGAGGAAAGGCTTGAGTATCTGCTGCTCTTAGAGCAGCTGTTTTCGTAGAAGAGCAAGATAAGAACCTAAAGACTAGAAAATTGTGGAAAGCTGCTTCATGGGCAGTGCACAGGTGCAAAATACACATTATATGTGAAAACACAGTTGGATGGCAAGGTCCTGCCTTGTACCTTGTGGCATGCTGTGACAGAGGAACAAAAACCACTCAGGGTTGATTCCTGGAAATCCTAAAATACAGCTCAGCTGAGCTGGCATGTAGGTGAAGAAGTGAAATAATAATAATTCTGTCTCCATTTTCTGTTTTCTTAGCCAGCACTGTCTTTTTGAGGTTGCTTCCTTTTTCTCAGATTAGAAGGAGCTTAATCACATTGGTTGTGATGACAGTAGCAGCTAACATTTTTAAAAATCAGTGCTAGCTATAAAATGTCTGAATTTCCTATGCCTTTTTTACTTAGGAATCCAAACGAGTAACTTCTTTCTAAAAGAACAAAGCCTAAAGAGCTAACCATCACAGTTTGTGGGAAAGTGGGTGGGTTTCTTGGTTGTGAAGGTTAAAATTGGTTCTTTTTGGCCTCTCTTGGTTTGGAAATGCAAAGTTACAAAAACGTCATTGAAGAACGAGTAACTTTGAGAAGGTAACAGCAGAGTCTGTATGCACTGATGTGCACTCACCAGCATGCACACCTGTAGCTGTTTGCACGTCGCTGATGCTGTGGTTAACAGTTCACTGCCATTTCTTGCAGCCAAGAGGAGAATGAAGCAGCTGTGGGCATTGAGAGCCCGGTGTGCAGGTGCCACGCTCACCTGCTGTGGAACAGAGCACGCTTTGGGGAGTTGAACGACCAGGAGCGGACCCAGCAGTACATCCAGGCATTGAGGACAGTGAGTGAACGTTGCCTGGAGCTTTTTTGGCTTCTGTGATGGATGCACATATTGTTTTATTTACAGAAATTGTTTATGGAATTTGTTTCTCCTCTGCAGAGGACTTTGCTCACCAAGTATTTTTTTTTTTCAATCAGCAGATCTAAGTTATGTTTTTGTCATGAAAACTTTAGTTTTACAGTTTTAAATTGTAAGCAACCATTTTTGTATAGGAACTTATAGCAGCTCTGTGTATTTGTTAGAAGTAGTATTGGTAGTTGAATAAAGACACCCAATACATTTTTGTGCAAACTTTCTCAAATCTAAGCCAAGGGGACTACATGAGCATTTTTTACCCTTATTTTATATGGAAGTGTGTAAAGTGGGGAAAACTTTTTCATCTGGAACAGGAATAACATGACTCTTTATTTTCTGTAGGTTCTGAACACAGATAGTGTTTGCCTTTGTATCAGTGATGGCAGTCTGCTGCCTGTGCTGGCTCACTATCTTGGAGCAAAGCAGGTACAATACTTCATCCTGTTTCTCAGATTTTTACATTTTAGCTTGGTATTTTTCTCTTCTATAGTTCATTTCCAGCTCGTTATTATCCTGAGTCTGTGTGTAAATGAGAGCTGAGAGCTGCCTGGCTGTCTCACGTGCATGTACCTTACTCATGTGTTCTGTCATGGGGCTCTTCCACCTAAAATCTGTTACAGTTGGACTGAACATCTGGGAATGTGTAATGTAACATAATCTGGGGAATGTAGCATACTGCCTAGCTATTCACCAATTAAAACAAAACTTATTTTTTTATTCCTGCAAAAGGCTTCTGAGCACTTTGCAGCTGATAGAGTCTGGTGATGTTAAACAGTGCTCACAAGGACTGAGCACTGCTGGAGGAGCTTGATCTGGCACAATGCTTGCATTTGTTCAGGAGTAAAGGTGTGCCTAGAGCAAATGTTAATGTGCTCTGTACATCTCAGAAAAGGAAAATAAAATATTTGCATTCTGTTGGTGTTTTTTTCTTGTATGGCTGTGAAAACAGAATTATTTAGCCTGCAGTTATTTGGGGTGTTTAGTTGTTAAAAAGGTCTGTGACAGTGGGCTGTGGAATAGATGCATGGTTCTTATGAACTGTGCTCACCGGGGCATCAAAGTGTTCCTTCATTGTTTAGTTAACATCTTCTTTGAATTAAAAACTATAAAGCTAGTTTGACTAATTGTTGTGTGTTTTCATTAGGTGTTTACAATAGAAAACTCTGGTGTGTCCTGTTCTGTCATGGAAAAAGTGAGTATTCCATTATCTGTTAAAGCAGTAAATGAACCCATGGTGTTACTAAGCCAGAGTTGATGCCTTTGTTTGTTGTTCTTGCATCAATTGTTTAGCAGTTAAATCAGTTTAATGAATGTGTTGGAGGATGCTGTTTGCTCTTAGACATCAGGCAGTGGCTCCACTGCAAATGGTGTTTCAGCTGCTGCCTTGGGGAAGGGCACGGAAGGCTCTGCCAGTGAAGTGGAGGCTGTTCAGGAGAGGCAGCTGTGCCTGAGAAGGGAATGGGAACAGCTTCCTGAAGCATCTTTGCCTGAGGCTCTTTTAGCTGACACTGGGTGTTGGAAGAGGTCTGGCTCAGCCAGAACAGGAACTGAAGGCAAACAGAAGCCAAATATGCAGTGTTTCATAGTTAAAGTGATTCTTATCTTTCTTGACTGTTGTTCCTGTATGTTTCAAAGTACAAATGAAAGAAAGTGAGGCAACTTCTGTGTTATCTGCCTTCTTAGATACTTGTATGAAAGAATATGAAGGGCATGTGCTTTAGTTCAGTAGTTCATGTTGGCTCTAAGTGTGTGCATCCTTCAGAAGTAGGATGCACAACATATCAACCTGCTAAGATATGGTTGGACTTGATGATCTTGGAGGTCTTTTCCAACCCAATCTATTCTATGATTCTATGATTCTATGGTAGGCAGCTTTTTAGAAAAAAATTTTTTAGAAAAAAAATTTTGGCTAGTGGTTTTTTTATAATTTATTTTCAAGAAAATCATTCTTTTGGTGTGTGTTTGAGTCTCACCTGTGACTTTTGCTAAAGACAGCATGCTACTTTTTGGTTTTAGATTTATAAAGCAAACCATCTTGAAGATAAAATTAAAATAATAGAAGCACGTCCTGAGTTGCTGAAGCCTTCTCATTTCGAAGATAAAAAGGTATGTTACAGTTGTCCAATATACTGAATTTCAGGAGGGTGGTAGTGACCAGAAGGTAAAAATTATTTCTGCTTTTCTGCTGTGCCACTGTAACCACGCTGAGTCCCATTATATCCTGCTTCTGCAAAGTGCAGTGAGTAGATGGTTCAGATGATGTGCCACTAAAACTAAAGGAGACTTGAAGACTGTGGGAGGATTGTTGCTTTGTTTTTGGAAGGATGTGACTTTCCCTGCTGCATAATCTGCACCAGTTGTTGAGGCAGTTTAACTGGTTTAACTGTGTGTACTACAAGGCTGCAGTTCTTCTTTGGCCAGCCCCTCAAGAAGATGGCAATCTCTTTGAAAGTACTAACATCATTAAATTAAAAATTTTAAAATACTGTGACTCGTTACAAAGCCTTCCAACCTGAAGATGCAGTCTTTTCTCTCAAAATTGCTGCAGGAAAATTCATTTTAAAATGTGCTGACTGAACCCACAGAAGAATGTCTGGTGTGCTGTGTGTGCAGGATACAGTAATTAAATCTTTTTGGAGCAATAGAGGTTCTGATGTAGATGATTTCACTTGTGTTGTATTGGTAGCTGTTGGAAGGTTCAAACAGCCTGTGTCACTGAGTTGTTCTTGTAACGCTTTTTGTCTCCTCCTTTCTTTGCCAAGATTTCCGTTCTTGTGGGAGAGCCATTTTTCAGTACAAGTTTGTTGCCGTGGCATAACCTGTATTTCTGGTATGCCAGGACAGCTGTGAGCAGTCACCTCACCAGCAATGTCACTGTCCTGCCTCAGTCTGCTGCTTTGCACATGATGATTGTGGAGTTCCAGGTGAGCTTCTGTAGGAGTATCCATTTGGTATTTACACAAATCTCCTGAAATGAGGACTCTTCTAGGATTTTTTCATGACAAGTGTATTGCATTTTAATACTGTCCAATATGTTTTGTACTTACCACCTCAGAAAAGAATATTTGATATCTTGAAGGTGAGTTTTGCTATTTCAGCCATCTCTTGTCAGCAAATTAATTTAAGTAATTCTGCCATTTAAAATGGAAGGGCTGAATGTTTTAAAATATTTCTTTTGATTAGAGATTGCTGAAGCTTGTGACTGTTGTGGTTATTTATAAAATTAGATATTCTGCAACATAACAGTTTTTGATTCTTAATTGCATGTTCCTTTTTTTTTAACCTCTGTGCACGGTTCTGAATTTGAGCACATCTTAAAAATAATTTGAAAAGTCATCTTTCAGAAATTGTACAAAGCTGTAAACCTTTTCTTTCAGCTATTAAGGACTTCTTAACTAAAGATTGTGAAGTGTTTACTTACAATGATAATGGGAATTAAATAAGTTCTTTCATCATTAATATGCAAAGGCCAGTAACTTAAGTGAGGGACTCTGTAGTCTGAATATAGTAAATAATATACATATCTGTACCTAAAAAAAGGCCTATAATCTGATGAATTTTCACATAATCATAACCTTCAGTTTATCTGTTAAAAATGCAGGGTGTTTTTTGTCATTTTTCTTCCCTCTGGCTCACCAGCTGTGTGGTTTTTGTGTCTGAGCCTTCTCTTCCTTTACAGTTTCCTTGTTTGAATACTCTTTAACCTTATTCTCTTACTTCTGCTTTTGATTTCTGCAAATGAAAATATGTTTTATTTCCTTCTGGAACTAATCAACTGCAATGCATGTTTTTACCTGTATTTTTACATTTTTACAGTTTTCCACAAAAACGTAGAGAATTTAAATATATACTGAGTAAATAATGCAAATCTAAGTCATGCAATAGGAGGCAGATGTTTAAGACTACTCAAGAGTAATCAGGTTGAAATAAGCAGTTAATTTCAATTCCATGCTTCCTCATCTGGAGGACTTGCTTGTCTAGAACTCACAGCATTTTGTAAGGAAGTAAAGCATTATTGTGTTCATGTTCTGGATGAGGAAACTGAAGCCTGCAGTGATGACTGAAGGTTATTCAGCAATGCAGTAGCAGAATGTAAAGTAACATTCGTGTTACCTGAGCCTGAGTTTTACCCTTTCATAAGGGTTGTGTTCAGAGCTGATTCCACATAGCTATTTTGGTAGAACATTTCACTTGTATTTCATTCCATTAAGCTCTTCCCAGAGCTATTGCTTTAATTTTACATTTTCTTCTTTGTTCAGTGGTGACTCTAGACTCAAAGACTAAAATCTGTGAGGTTTTGAAAATAACCTCTGCATTTACCAGATTTTGGCCAGAGAGAGTGAACAGGTGTCTTGCAGAACTGGTTCTGTAGGCTGTTCTGTCTTTTCAGAGTGGGTTTGTCATCATGGTTAAGCAACTAGCAAAAGCTGGATCCAGGAGAAAGAATTTAATGAAATTACTTTAGTTATGAACTTGTTTCGTCCACAGTTGCATTTAGGGAGCAGGGTGCTCTCCATCTGCTTTGGTAGTTCTGTCATTTATACCATGCAGAGTGCTCTAGTTGTGCTGTATTCAGGCATAAAGTATAACAGTATATATTTAAATATTTAAAACAGTATATATTTAAATGTACAGAAGTCCTGCTGCCAGCATGTGAAGCTGGAACATTTGAGATTAGGTGCAAGAATGAACAGGTAATTAATGTATGTATCCATAGCCAGTGAATGTTTGTGTTCTATTAAGAGACCATTGATGTGGTCTAAGAAAAGACAAAAGTTGAACTGAATCACTGTCTGTCCAGTTGGTTGCTATAGTCAATGAAAGACATAGTGTGGAGTGCCTAAAATGATTTCATTCCCCTTTGAAGTGCTGAAGGGAAATGTGTTAGTCTGGTAGGCTGTAAGATGTTTGATGCAACTGGGAGCACTCACCTGTGCTGGGTAGGGAAAATGCAGGGGCTGTATGAGTTTTATCTTGGCAAATCCATGCATGCTCTGAAATAAATTATGCACAGAGATTGTAAGAAATGTGACAGATTCTTTAGAGGAGTTTAAAGCAGTGGCTAAAGAATTAACTGGCTTAAAAAATGTTTTCCCAGAATTACACAGTCTTTTAATTCTTTCAGTAGTTGTAATGGTTTAGGAATGTATAGATAGTAAAGAGCCTTTATCTGCCTTGCTATCAAATGTCTACTTTACAGCTAAAACTATATTAAGATTTCCTGTTTCCTTTAATGAAGCCAAACAAAACCCTGTTTTTGTTTACAGGACTTATGGAGGATCCGGAGTCCGTGTGGCATCTGTGAAGGTTTTGATGTCCAGACTATGGATGATATGATTAAAGTAAGAAGCCTGACAATAGTTTCAGCACAAGGCTCAGCAAAACAAAGGCTCAACTTGGCTTAATAAAGCAATTAGTGACTGTTGGAAAGCCTGTATGTTGAGCAGAACACCACTGTTTTAGTCTTTCAGAACTGTGGTGACTGCTTAGTTCTTGTAGAACAGAACTTTTGTGGTGTGGGTTTGGGTTGTCAGTTACTTCTTACTTGTCAAGTTCTTCAGTTCTTTGCTGTGTTTTGAAAATACATCTGTTCATTCAGAAAGAAAAAACTATTCTCAAGATGTTATTCTGAGCTTGACATCAAATGGTTTGGGAGTTGTTTTTGGATGAATCCTGCCTTACTTGGAGGTGCTTTTGAAAAAGGCTTATGGACTACTGAGAACTAGATAGGAAGGGTGAGGTTTATTTGTATCGATTTCTAGAGCTGGACTGTCAATGTCCATATTTGAGTTAGCCATTTAGATTACCTTTGCAGTCACTGTGGAGGAGGACAGGCACTTGTAGGGTAGAATTTGTCTGGAGGGAGCAGAAACTGCATTTTATTTTGAAAGTGCCTGGTTTCCTTTCATTGCTGAGGGCCATTGTCATGTGTCGTGGTTTAATGCACGGAGGACACTTTTTCCTTTGTACTTAAGAAGGGCAGTCCTGTCCTCTTGCAGCTTTATTGCTTAAATACTCTGGGTTAAGGACACGTAATTAACTGGAAAACATGGACTATTTGCCTTTTGATTGTTTTTGGATAATTTTATTTCTTTTCTTTCTTCAGGATTCTCTGAATTTTAGGGAATCCAAGGAAGCAGAGCCTCACCCTCTGTGGGAATATCCTTGCAAGTCACTGTGTGACCCCCAGGAGGTTTTGACATTTGACTTCAGAAGGACTGTGCCCCAGCACTGTCTCAGCACCGAGGGCTCTGTAAATCTCTTGCGGTCAGTGAAGAAATATTCTTTTTGCAAGAAATATTCCTATCAGCATCCATTTTTTTACCTCGTGTTCAGGTTCTTTGTCTATTATAGTTAATGGTGGGAACACACTTGACAGTTTTTAATAATGTGACTCGAAGTTGTGGAAGTTATTCTGACACAAATTTCCTGTGGCTGTTCTCAATAGGCTATAACAATAATATTAGATATTATTAGATTAGATAATATGCCTGTATTTAAAAAACAACATTTTTCTAGCTGTTGCTGTGATTTAAAATTTAAATCGATTAATATGTGGTGTAGAGAAAGTAACTGTATGCTTTTAGTCTTTGTTCCCTGTTGCTGAGTTCTTGCAGAAAAAGCTTCTATTTAGCTTTTCAGATTATTGTGTTTAATAAATTACTGTGTTTAATAGCTTTAAATATTGTGTTGATAGCTGTTAAAATGTATGCTATTCTTCCTTCTAACTATAATTCTGGCAATTTTGATATTTGTAATGTCTTCTGAGGTATTTTTCACTATAATGTAACTACAAATTGTCCCTAATTCTGTTGAAGTTTAAAATGCTGTTTAAGAATTAAAAATCAGGGGCAAGGTTTTTGGGGGTTCTTTCTTTGCTGTCTAGAGCTTGTGTAGCTCAAACACTGCTGTGATTGTTTGCTTCTCATCGTGAAACAAAACTCAAGGTTTCCCAAAATCCAGAACCACCTGTGTGGGGTCTCTGCCTTTGCAGCAGTTGTGTTTGTAGGCAGAACCTCTGCTTCTTGAAGTGACATGGTATGTGTGGTAAACATTTCCTCACAATTCAGAAACAACAGGAGGGGGTCTGTGAAGGGGGTGCTGTCTGATATGCAGTGTAACTTACACCGTGTTACCCAGTGCTGGTTAAATGGCTGTGCTTTTGAGCAGATACAGGTATGACATACTCTCCTTTCCCTTGCCTTTTTTAGATTTCATATCTGCAAATATTTTACAAGCTGCTGCCCAATTACCAAATCACTCAGCTGTTCAACTTTTTCTCAAGGAAAGGAGTTCTCCATGATTTTACAGCTCTCACCTAAACAGTAGTGCAGTGTCACTGTGAAGCTGTCAGTACTGTGTGAAGTAACAGGTTTTATCTTCCACCTCTCCCCAGGAAAGGAAAGTGCCATGGAGCAGTTTTGTGGATGGAATATCATCTTGCTGCAGATATCTCCATAAGTACAGGACTGATGAGAATTTCAGATGAAAAGGTACATCTTCAATCTAAATTATTATATCAAAGTCTGTAGGATTACAGTGCTGAAAAATGGGTCCCTGTTGGCCATGCCTGGGTTATGTAGTGCTCTTTGTTACACTGCTTGAACACTGCCTAGACAGAACTAGCAGAAATATCTGTGCTTTTGCAGGGAGCAGGAGATGTACCTTAAAATGGGAGAATCTGCACTGGATCAAAATGCTCCATAGTTTGGAATCAGTTCAGAGTTTAAATATGATGCTAACTCAGAGTTTATTACAAATACCGTTTCTCAATTTAACAAAAGCAAACATTTGGAGGAGAAGGAGTACTTTTGGTATTCTATCTAAATATTCTTTGACCAAAATGCATTTTTTCCTCTGGCTTCTCTGTGCAGAGTAGCACATGGTATTTCAATGATGCATTCCTATAGTGGGGTGGATGGCAGTGGAAATGATGATGCTGATCCTTGTGGACTCAGCTGGGAACGAGAACTCGTACTGCATTGTTACTGTATGGTAATAATATGGTAGAGGTTTGACTGCTTGCGCTTTGAACTCTCTCCTGCAGGGAAACTGTGACTGGAATCGCCACTGCAAGCAAGCTGTCTATTTCTTCAGTTCTGTCATTGAATCAGAAACTCCAGCAGCCCCTGCTGCTGTCACATATGCTATACATTTCGACACAAAGACAGGGGAGATTGCCATGGATTTTAAGCTATTATAAAATACTTTACTATTCCTCATATTCCTAAATTATAATAAACCTTTTTTTCATACAGCAGAGGGATTTTTTTATTGTGCTCAGGGAACAAACTGTTCTGAAACATGCTTTTAACATTTTGGGATTTGTTTTCAAAATACGTAGGCAGAGAGGAAGTGTTTCTTAGGTCAGGTATTCTTGACAGGGTTTATGTACATATATACACATTCTTGTCATCGTCTGTGTCAGTGTTTTGCATCATGCCATGGAGCTAAAAGGCAGGTGCTTGCTGATTGTTGCTTGGCATAGCAGTAGATGAGGACACAACCTTACGCTGACATTAGAGAAAAGTGAGTTTAAAACATCTAGTTCAAGATTTGCTCTTGTCACTGTACAAAGGGAAATAATCTTCAGAGTGCTCAAAAAGAAATCCCAAGTCATCCACATCTGTGTGCTGGTGCACCTGACAGGGGAAGGAAACAGCTCAGCTGCTCCCAGGCGTGGCGAGGCTGTGGCTTGAAAGGGTCAGGGAATGAAGGTGGGTGCACTGATGTTCTGCTGACGTCTTTAGATGCTGCATTTCTGGAGAGTGATTTCCCAAACAGTGACCAAAACCTGGAAAGCTGTAACTGAAAATTAGAAAATGTACATATTCAGGTTAATTGGAAATGACAAACTGATGGTAGTCTGAGAAACAAAAGAAGAAGAGTTTTAGTCTAAAAAACTTGCAAATCTTTTGGAGATATGTAATATGCATTATATGATTAAAAATGTGGCCTTATTCCATCAGAGGCCTAAATAATATCTGCCACTTCAGCTAAGGTGTAGGCTGCTCTGCAATACCATGTCCTCATCTGAGGTTATCTTAGTTGCACTCCAAATCATGTTGGCAGAAATTGTATTGTTGAAATTAATTCTGCTTTAGATGAACTGGTGTATCTGTTTTGTACGTGTGACCCATTAAGGGAAATATAAAATCAGTGTACTGCCTGTCCTAAATGATGTCAGCCAGCCACAGGGATAACTGCTCACCAAAGCTACTCCTGTTTCCTCTGAGCAGCAGCTTTAGCCAAGTGAAAGGAATGCCACAAGGAAGCCATGAGGGAGCACAGCCCACTCTGCTCTGCTTTGCTGGTCACCATGATACATCATTCTTGTGAGTAGGAATTTTTTCTTTTCCTAATGGTGTAGTTATATTTATAGACCCACAAGCCATCTGAAATATTCCAAAGCTTTTCAGAATCGTTTTCCTGACAAACAGAAACCTGCAGCACCTGCTGAGATATGTGAATTTCACTTTTCAAAACTGTACTTTTAAGATGCTTAACTCCAGTCTGTCATTTCTTACAGACTTTGCTGGACTATGTAGGTTACTGTTCATTAAACATTTGTTTTAATTTTTATACACTGTGCCTAGCCCACAGAAAGTATGGTGGCACAATCTGTTATGTGTTGGGAACATAAGCAGTGCAATTGTAAAGGAAACAAAAGCAGTAAAGGCTTGGCTCTTTGCTTTTTTTTTAAAGGCACAGTTGTGCAAGCCTGAGAAAAGCTTGCATTATAAAGCTGCTCTTCTCCTGACTGTGCCCTGTAACTGTGTCTGGGCTGACACACAAAGCATGAGCTGCTGTTCTCGTTCTGCAGCAGGAATAGCTTCTGGAGGTGCAGTTTGCTGCACAGATGATTCTGGATCCAACAGAACAGGACAGTGTTTCAAAGGGAACGCAGAACTAAGAGACAGCAATGTATTAGAATTTTTATTTTTGGAAAAAATAAAGTAAGATAGAACAAAACCACACCAAAGCTTACAATATTTCATTGGGTAGTATTAAGTTCCTCAAAGATAATTGTGTGTGTCTGTATGTGCCTGAATTGTACTTCCTGAGAAAAAATAAAACATACATTAGCTGCAGTGCCAAAGGGAAGTAATCCACACTGATGGCAATTTGTATTTGGTTATCAGTATTATGTGTGCTGAGGTTATGTGGGCACTGCAGTAGATACTGGGCATGGTGACTGAGAGGCACCCTTGTTAAACCTCTTGGTATTGTGAGGCTTGGGAGGTTCTCAGAGGTGGGTGAGGAAAGTGAGGAGCACAGGCCAGGTTTGTAGCAGCCTGTCTGCAGAACTGTGCTCAGGGCTGATCTGGGGCAGCTCATGGGAACTGCTCTGTGTGCATATGAGGAAAAACATAAATTTCAGTATGCTTGGGGCAGAAATTGTATTGCTGCTGTCAAAAAAAAAAAAAAAAAGGCTGGAAAGATTGAATGCTGAGCATATTTTAGAAGCCTTGTGCGTGTTTTAATTCACTGTGAGTGTTCTCAGCATTGCTAATGCTTGCTGGTTAGGCTTGTGCATTTAGACAGGCACTGGAACTGCTTCCAGGATTTGGTTTAACATGCTGGAAGCTGCTGTGTTAAGGCAAACCCTTACCACATGTGTGTGTAATTAGGACTAATTATTGTATGTATCAGTCTTCCTTGACTTCTCTGAATTCTTTAGGTTGGACTTAAAAACTTAATGTGATTTGTAAATTGTGTGGCCAGCAGCTGCTTACGGGGGGATCATTTCATATGCATGTATGCAAAACCAGAATAAAAGACTACTTCTGTCTCTGTGCTCTTGCAAAGGGCATCTTACTGCAAGCACACTCTTGGGGCAGGAAAGCCTCTTAATCAAAAAACACATCTACCCAGTGGCAGCATCCAGCTCCCATTTGTTCCCAGAGCTGACAGCATTGCAATGATGTGCTGAGTTGGAAGAGCTTCTGGCTATCTTAATAAGCAAAGCAAGAATCCTATTTTCTCTTGGAAGGAACTTATTCTGTGCTGCCACCACAGGCAGTTTTTTTCTAAATGACAACAGCTTTGATCCTGACTAGGCCTGCAGGCACAGATGCACGTTCTAATAGAAACAGGATCTCCTGCCACCACTGAACTTAATAGTGCTGCAGTTCATCTATTGCAGTGGAGATTGGCAGCTTTTGTAATGTGGCACTAGAGATGTGTGCACTAACAGGTATTAAAAATAATAATAAACTACCAAGTGTTGCCATTCACATTTAGCTTCCCAGTTTCAGTTTTGCTGCAAAAGTAACTGTATAGCTTTGAATTGCAATGAAATTTTACTGATACACAGTGGTTACCACAGCACAGATCCACAAGAGGGTGCTGAGAACCCGCTTCTAATTTTCTACCATATTATAAGTAAGGAAACACACAGACTTGCAATGCAGCTGTCTCATCTTCTGTGCAAATAAATGCCTCTGATGATATGAGATACACTCAGCATTCATGCGTGGAAGTGGAAAACTAGTTCAAAAAGTGAAACTCCTGATAAAACTAATCCAGACTTGCACTTACTGCTAAGGCAGGCAGGCAGCAGAATTCTGTGTCTCCTGCTGAATACATGGAATGAATGGTCCTCTTAGGACAGTGAAGTTGTCATGGTCCTAATGAAGGACAAGTCTTGCATTTTAAGGGGTGTTCTCTAAGTCATGGCAGCTGCAAGATTTGCTCCTTTATTTGCAGAACTGGTACTTTTTGTCTGAAGCCTGGGCAATCCAAGGACTGAGATCCTGGAGCTTGCTTTTCTCCTTGATTAGTCCCTTTGAAACGGCTCTGTGTGGGCTTCCTGCATTTAACAGGATAGAGGATGCAGTTCAGGACTAATTCATTTAGATACTCATCTTTTGTATTCTGTTTATAGTTACAGCTGGTGGTTAGGAGGGGAAGAGACTATTACAGCTTCCTAGTGTTGGATTTTTCCAGTGGTGATTGTGAGCTGAATACAGTGGATGCTTGTGTTGTCATTCTACCTTATTGACTCTGAAGGCATTGCTAAATGTTAATTTGGTTTTGTACTTAATCACTGTAATACTTCACGTTTCCAAGCATTTGATGCAGATTAGTGATTAAGATGCTTCTCCAAGAGGTGTTTGTTGTCATCTCCATTTTTCAAAGAGGAAAAAAATCTAAGGGTGCTTTTTGTGATGTTCAAGTGTTTCATCTGCCCCAGGCTCACTATAAGATTAGGGCCTCAGAGCTAAAAATGACTTGCTCAAGGCCATGCAGAATAGACTAATCCCCTGACTCCCTAGCTCTGCTTTAATCATTTGTTTTCTTAGCACAGTGTTATTTCAAATGCAGCCTTGTGAGGTTTGACCGAGATACAGCAGATAAAGGCTCAGAGGCAGTAAATCCTTGGATACCTCAGTAATTAAAACCATGTGTTTTTTAACACATATGTACAGTATATTTATGTATTACGTGTAAGTTGTGTTTTTAATATAACTACATACATTTACAAAGCTGTAGCGCTTTGATTTTGTTTTCAGAGGTTGTCACGAAGATGACCCACTTTTTTTTCCCCCCAGCAGGATTCTGTCTAGGATTTGAGAGCCCTGAAGATGCCTCTTTTGTGGACAAGGGCAATAATGTAAGGAAGAGAGCTGATTATGTTCGTGAGTGCACTCGCAGGTCTGCCGGGCTCTCCGCGGTGCTGAGGGCACAGCCCCAGGGTGTCTCAGCCTCCAGTCACGCAGGACTGGCCTCGTAACCTCTGGTGCTTCCTCAGGGTTTTGCTCCAGTGCAGCTGCACAACCTGCTGCAGCAGCTCCTCTGCTGAGGGTTTGTCTGTCACTCGTGTCCTTTTCCACAGCCTCTGCTCTGCCTTGCCCATCACCCTCATCTCGGGGTGCTCTGGGAGGAAGAGTGGCTGCTGCAGGTTACTGAGTGGAGTCCTGCTTCTCCAGGGTGGCAATTGATCCTGCTGCATCTGTCTCACATAAAGTGACTGCTTGCTTCATGTTAGGGTATCTAAGAAACCAATGACTCACCCCCTGGCAATCAGCAAACAAATCAAGCTGCGGCAGTGAATGGGGTGGGAGGGAAGGAGGGACAAACAGCCTTCACTGCGGCACTTGGAAATGTCATATTGCTTCTCAACTGCAGTATTTCTAGGAATGGTTGAAGTGACTGCAGCAGGTTACATGGATAATCCCATGCCTGCCTCACAGGCAGCAGCAAAGTCGTTTCTACCACGGGGCTGATGCTGTAGGATGACATCCCCTCATGCTGGTGGAGAGGGCTGGGAGCACATCCAGGGTGTGTGATGAACCAGCTGCTGTGCAGCCTCCCAGTGCAGCAGGTGAGGGACAGGCAGCCCTTGGCCAGGGATGCCAGCGAGTCTCTCATGCCTTGGTGCCCCTTTCCTTGGGGGTTCCTGCAGGGCCTCAGGGCAGGACAGACACGTTCTCCTTATGCCTGCCCTCCGTGCCTGCTCATCCCAGCACAGCGGGCAGTGTCCCACCCAAGATAAAGTGTGTTGGCACCTGCTGCCAGCCCACGGGGGGCAGAGGGGCTGGGGGAGAGCCCAGCTGTGTTCTGTGAGCAGTAGTGGGACCTGAGAAACAGGAGTGCCATGTTGAGTGTGCGTGTGACTCCACACTGAGGGAACCAGGCACACTCAGGTACTGAACTGGTGTGCAAAGAAAACTCACACCGTGTGCTTTGCTGGCTGTTTTGCCTCCTGTGCATCCTGTCCTTACACTGGGACATGGCACCAGGGACCAGGACAGGGGCTTTACAATTGACTGCTTGTGTTCCTGCTGTTTTCAAACAGCAGTGGGACCCCCTGAGCAGATGCTGTTTATGAGTTCCCCCTAATACTTCTTGCCTGTTTCCTTTGAGTGGAACCTTTGAATGGGAAGCTTATGGAGAAGAAACAATGTTTTGAACATGCTCGGCCTCTTTCTTCAGAGGTACAAAACAATGGATAAATTTGTTTGTTTGTTTTAGCATCACTCAGCTCCTGCTGAGATTGTGCTTTTAGGTGTAGTTGCTTTTAGTTTAGATCTAGTTGCTTTTAGGTCTAATTTGCTGTAAACCTTTTTTTCCCTAGGTATGTCTTTACAAATAACAAAATAAGTCTAAAGAGCTGTTTTTCAAGCCATGCTGACTGATACAAAGGCAAACCATATGTCATAGGTTTCTGAGGGTTCTGCCCCCCTTTAAAGATACCGTTCCATGTTATGGCTGGCATTTGAATCTTTGCTTTCCATGCTTGAGTAAGAAGGAGAGGGTAATGAAGGGTAAAAGGAAAATATTACTTGCAGAGCTCAGTTGTGGGCTAAATTTAGGATTAAATCTGTTGTAATCTGTACATGCAAGACAAAAAGCTCAGGAGAAGGGTTCATTATGGTAAAGTCTGGTCATCCCTGGTTTGTTTCAAAACATTTCCCTCCCCACCCCAATTTCAATAACAATCACAGCAGCTTTATCATACCTTATGACACAGCCTCAGCTACCTGCATGTACAACTGTCTCTGGTGGTGTGTTCTCTTCTGAGTGGTTAAAATGGTCTTTGGACTCCGAATGGAGTAGTTTCATTCTGGTAATGGAATTTAAGTGATGGTCCCTTAAGTGACCCTGTTGGCATTACTCCTTACTGAACCTTGGCATTGCTTAAGGCTTCTCCTTCACGCATTAAATAAATTTCTTTTTAGATCTCAGGTGTTTAGATCCTCACCACACCCTGGCCCTTCTCTTTTTGTGGAACACTGATGAGTGTTTAACAAAAACTGACAGGTTCCTCTGTGTTGCAGAGTGCACTAAATGAAGTCAACTTCTATGTTAAATGTTACATTTTCACCTTTTCTGCATTATCTTGGCACATACCTTGCTGCATACATCAAAAAAGTTTTCACAAAGGGAGGAAGGAAGGGAGATGTCTAGGAAAGAACATGTCTTCGTATTTCAGTACAGAGCAGGTTTTATGTCTGTTGTAGCAGGGTGCTCTGCTTCACTCGTTTCATGGGTATGTGCTAACAAAACATTTAATTTGGGTGTGTTTTGTGCTTGTCACGGGAAGCTCTTCAAGGGCAGTCTGTCACTGAGCTCGTGTGCTGTGCCTGTGCTGCCAGGCTGGGGGGTTATTTCTTGCTTATGGATTCCATGAACAGGCTGCAGGTATGAGTAGCATTTCCCTTCCCTGAGGGGCAGCAGCCCCTCAGATCATCTGAGCAGTTCTGAGCCAGGTGAGTGTCCGTGCTGAGCTGCTGATGCTCCACTGTAGGAGTGCTGATGTACAGGTGTGATTGGCAGCACGTTCCTTGTTCCAGGGGCAGCCCTCAGATGGCAACTGCAGTTCTGTGCTTAGGATGTGATGTGGCCCTTTTAGGTGCTGTTCATCCTGTTCTTTGAAGGCTCCCTCGATGGCAGAACATGTCCCCAGTTAGAGTGGTACCATTTCTGTTCTGTCTCTGTGCCATCAGCCAGGCCTTGGAGCTGCCTGGAGAAAGAAAGGCATTTTCTCACAGGAGATCATCTGTTCTGATTGAAGCAGTGCCTTATATCCACTGCCAGCTTCCTGCTGCTTTCTTGGATGCTGCTACCCACAGCCCTTTACTTGCGGGGAGAATATTCCACTTGTGTGTCTGCCTCTAGCTGGGAACTGGATACACTGCTCCATTGTTCACCTCCCCTAGAAGCTCTCTTTTAAGACAGTCTGTATTTGCATTCCCTGGGCTGGCTGGGCAACAGCTAATCAAATAATTATATTTAAAATAAGATATAACAAAAAAGCATCTCTAAAAATAAAGGCAAGGTGTAGTCATGCCTCTCACCGACAAAACTAGTCAGCAATGTACGTTCTGCGGAATGTTTCCCAAATAATTGAGGACCACTTAATGTTCTTAACTTTTTTTTTGTTGCATTTTTTTAAAATCTTGTTAGATGTTCTCCTATCTTTATAGTATGTCTGCAGATCAAGTATCTCCTCCTTCCATTCCTTTTCTTTCTATTCCCCCCTGCCCCCTGTGCTTTAAACAGTCTTGCATAGAGCCTTGACAAGCAGCTGTTCATACTTGAAGAGATTTTGCTGGTAAGCTCCAGTTCTGGCCATGTTTAAAACATGAATAAAAATAGCAGTATTTTTTTCAAGATTAAACTGAAGGCCCCAAACAGATAATTTTGCTTGTCCTTATAAATAAGCATTACCCAGAAGCTGAAGAAATGCTGTACTTTTCCCATCCTCAAACCAAAGATGGGACCGAGTGGGACCTTCTGGGTTGTTCTGTCTCCCTTCCTGTAGCTGGGCTCATGCGTAGGAACTCTTTAAAAATACAGTCAGCTCTCTTTTAAAAGCATTGGGGTTTCAGAGAGGAATTTTTGTTTGATTGGTTTGCATTCCATTGTGGTCATTTGGAAGCTGGTTTTGAACTTGTCTGGTCTTGTGGTCGGAAACTTTCTTCTGATTGTCGGCCCAGGAATCCAGGCCTGGACAAGGACCTCTTGTACTGGTCTGGAGCCATTGCCCAGCACTTGACCAGACTCAGCATTTCTTTCAGCCAGTGTATAATAAATGCTCCATTTACAGCTTCTAATTTGCTCTTTCAGTGGAACACGGAGCTTCAGGATGGCGAGGCTGAGGTTTCTGCAGTGAGGTGGAAGGACACTCAAGGTCAGCTGTGGGCAAAGGGGATCTCACCAGGGTAAGCACTCTTAGTTCAAAAGTGACACAGAGCTTCAGGAACACAGACCTAATAATTAGTGAAGTAGCTCCAGTCCTTCTTATGTGCTTATTGTGGCATACAAGACACATTTTGTTAAAAGTCTGAGTTTGTTGTATATAAATATCTTCTCAGCAAATGTGGAAAAGAGAAATCAGATGTTACCAAGGAGTAACAGAAAACAGAGTTTAAAATACCTGTTTTGTAACAGTCTTATTTTGGGGCTGAGATAATGGACCAGGCTTTGTACTGAGAATTAGTTTGTCTTGTGCAATACACCTTTCATTAGGAATATATTTAGCAAAGTGCCTGGCACCGTGGGAGTCCTGGGATTTTTGTTCTGTTGGTGTCCTGCAGACCTTGCAACTGCCTGTCAGGTCTGTTGAAGTGTAATGCTATGGTAGCATCAGAATGCAGACAAAGTTCCCCTGGACAGCAGTGGAGAAAGCTGCAGAAATCCATCTCTAAGGACCTGTCTCAGGATGGAGTGGTTCCTTCCTGAGGCCATGACAAGAACCTTGTGCACTGTGCTCCTCCATAATCACCTGCATTCCACTGCTTTCCTCCTTTCTGCTTGTGGAAAAAACAAATTCTTTGAAGAGGGGTTTCGTGCTCGTTTTTATCAAGGACTTTGAGGACTGTTCAGAAAGGCTGAACCAGTCAAATGGATTCTTTTCCCTTGGCTTGTTTTGTTAACCCCCTGGATTTCTTAAGGTCATGTGTACAGGGTTGTGGGGGTGCTTTTTATCTTTGACTGGAAAACACAAAGATCAAACCTGCTCTCTGTGGGTTCAGGGCCCAGGGAACTGGGGAGGGGTCCAGCTGTACAACTGCACAGTGCCTTGTTGCTGCAGTCTGATGTCCTTACAGTGTGAGATGCTGGCTCAGGTTTGCAGCCTGCAGGCTCTGGGAATGCTGATGGAGCTGCACAGCTTGAGCACTGCCAGGGTGTCTGTGCAGGGGTGCTGGGCAGTGGAGGGGAGTTGAAAGGGCTCCTTTCTTTCACCCTTTATTTTCTGCAGGCTCACCAGAACAGGTGGAGCACAGTGAGACTGTACTTGACCCACCCACTCGATCACCCTGTGATTTGGAGTCAGATTTCTGTCAGTAACATCAGACTCCACATCACAAAACCAGAGAACACGACTGCACAGAATCATTTGAGCCTTGAAATTTTATTACCTTGTTTGCATCAACCAGTTATTCCTTTCAGCACCAATAGAAGACAAAAACCCCTCCATATTATTTAAAATACCTTGTTTTTATCAGGTCTGAGATTGTGGTTTTCTTGCAGATAAAGAAACCAATGAAAATACTTAATTTTTTCTTTTTTTTTTTTTTAGTACATTTATAACAAAATGTTGGAAGGTGTGTGCTTACCATATAAAAACATTAGGTTCCAGAAGGATACAATACTGAAAAATCATTGAAATAAAAAAGGCTATTCTTATTATAGGATTTCTAAACCTTAGCAATATTACAAGTCTTTAAAAGCATCGAGATTATGTTGAAAATAAGGTGGCATGGAAAAGTGAGACCTTCAGTAACAATTTGACCCTTGTAATGAATGATAAAATTGGGAGCTTGTCAAAGTGCTTGAATTGTATTTCTCATCCTGTAGTGCCAGGAGGAGGCAAAAATACTTAATTTCGGAGCTGATGATATGTGCTGACACTGATGTGCTGCTCTGTGATCCAGGGGAGCTCAGAGACCAAACTGGGGACAGTCAGATTGGCTCGTTCTGGAGCACCAAACAAAGGCCTTTGAAAAAAAAGATTCTTCAGTGGAATTGTACGTTCCCTAAATCTTACTGTCTTAGCCAACAGGTAGGACTGAGGGTGTGGGATAGAACTGGCCCAGTCCTGGCCCAGGCAGGTGCAGTCGTTCTCCAGCCAGCAGGACACAGCTCCGTGGGCTCGGGGAGCTTTCCCCAGCTTCTGCTGGGCAGCCAGGCTGGGCTGGACACCCCAGCTGGGCACACTGCAGCTGGCTAAATGCCCCTTCCCACAGCACCAGGGAGGCTGTTCCCACCTGCTGCTCAGTGGATTCAGCGGACAGAGCCGGCAGGGATTGACTGGAGCTGGATGTGCCCGAGGCCACGTTCTGGAGGGAGTGTTCTGATCTAAAGTTACTGACTTTGTCAGGACCTGACACCCTCAACACTTCTGCAAGGGCTTACTTTGACTGTCCTCATTTGTGTCTTTTGTTCACTCGTTCTAGAAGTGCTGTTGTAAAATGCAAATCGAACAGGAGAAACAGGAGATATTATATACCTTTTATAAAAAGATGACACGTGCTCTGCTGTGTCCCTGGTGCATTATTTAACCAAGAACAGCATTATCACCCACTTCTAGAAGATGCCTGAAACCCCAGTACAAAGTGGGGTAAGCACAGGAGAGGAAGCTTAACCCTAATTCTTATAAATAACATTCTACTAATAAATTGGGTCATGCTATCTGTAAGTGAAGAGAATTGACATATGAACAAACTATCCAGGGTTTGATCTCCTGGGCATGTTCTCACCCCCAGGCCTGCCCTCCCTTTGTTTTTCTCTTCAGGACAAGTATTCTGTGACAGTGTCTGCCTAAGGCTGGTGAGGATGGATGTCCTGCCGCTACAGGCACTGCCTGTGGTGTCGCAGTGCTGGAGGCAAAACTCATTTTTCTCATGGAGGTCACTCCTGGAAGGGAAGGCCTGTTCATTCCAGCCCCCCTGGACAGACACTCCCTGACCCCTGCAAACATGGAAAGGCACAGGAGCAATGTGAAAAACCAAGGAGCATCTGTCCAGTGGTACCTCAACGCTGCACCTCCCAGCATCGCTCTCCTGCAGAGTCACACCCCTAAGACAGTCAGTTAGAAAGAACTTCTGAGACTGGTTAAAGGTATGTGTATTGTGTAAGAGAACATTTCACAACCAGGCAGTTCTGGAGCACTGAGAAACTAGGAAACACCAAAATCTAAAACAGTTTACTTCAAATTTGAAAAAAACATTTCTCAATATATCTCAAGAAGGTGACAAAAGTGTCTCGTTTTTAGTCAGCACAAAGCCACAGACCGACTTTTAAGGTAATTTAGACCATGTTAGTTTTGCTGTAAATAATGTTGTTTGGCAGTAGTTTTATGTTTATATCCCACACGGTGTCAAATTCAGCTCCTGCAACTGATACTTGGTGAAGTTGATATCAAATTGTAATTTACATTGTTAGGAAAACTATTAAAAATAGTGTAGTTAGTTTTACTGCTGAGAAATAGCTGCTGGACAGCACACACATTGCTACTGATGCTGTTTCGATTTTTTAAAAAAGGTTAATAAAATACAAGTAAGGTAGAAAATAGGATTAAAAAGCGTTGGTTTGGGTACAAGTTTTTCTGAACTGGGTGGAAGAATAAGAAACCAGAAAAACACATTGCACGTATGTGCACCCTCTGTATAAAGACAAACATACAAAGTGGGAAACTGGTGGTGCACTGGGGTAGTACACTCAAGTCTCTGGTGCTGTAAACTTGAATTCCTAATTTTATCAAAAAGGGGAATTGAGTCTGGTTCATTTTTGAGTCCCCAGGGGTTACTTGCAGATTACCCCTGGTTTGGCACAGTACACTTAAGAGGCAGTCTCTGCTGAAGGGACCCTGGGATTGGAAAATGAGGCATAAAATGTATCAGGGCCAGGTGCAGGGGGAGAGTGTGAACAGTGGCCCTGCTGCCTACTTGGAATTAGCCAATACTGTTAGTCCTGTACTCTCATGACGAGTAAGAGTTTCTCTATTTGCAAAATCAGGCTGATTGCAGAAGTTCTGTTGTTCACCACAGCTAACTAAGCCAGTACCAGAGACTGCAGACTGAGATTTCTAATTTAAATCTATTCAGATTTAGCTCAAGCTGATTCCTAGCAGGTGTGAACTAAACCAAAACAAGAGCATCTTCAGGAGCTTGTGGTCAGCATAACTAAAACAGGTTACTTAATGGAGTAAGTCAAATATTGGATTAACTCTTCTTAACACAGGGAATCTGCAATGTAAGAGGAAATAAAACTGAACATGACATAGGCAGAAGAAACTAAGTAATGGTTAGAACACAGGGGGTTTCATTGTTCTCTCAAAACACAAACCCTCTGAAATTAAATCTTCCCCAAAAATGCCAAGTCATCAGAGACCTGATTCTCAGTTTTTCGTTCTTTTGTTAAGGTTACAGAGGCTGGGTGGGTCAGGCCACGGGGAGATGGCAGAAGGGAGCCCCCCCTTTGAAGAGCTGCAGTGGAAAGAACACGTCAGTCAGATGGCAAGACCCCTGTTCAAGCCTGTACTGCATAACAAATGGAGAATCACGTCTCCCAGACCCAGCAAAGGCCTCTGCTCCTGGGAAGCAGTTACCCAAGGCCAAGAGTCACAGCTCTGTACTCTCTAGCTGGCCCTGCTACACTTCCCTTTTAAGTGTACTGATTCCTTTCAAAAATCGTTAGGTTATTCTGCCTTATCAATCCTACACTGTTCTATGCTTTTTTTCTCCCCAAATGTCACTTATGTTTATGTTTACTCTATATCTAGCATGCATTTTACAATTCATTTCCCACTTCCCCTTTCTAGCTAAGGCAGAATGTTGGCTCTGGTGGTACCAGTGGTACTACAGGAATCTATTCACTCTACTGTAACATACATATCCCATATCATAATTCAGAACTGTCCCACACAGGAGAAAGAAAGAAAAGACATTACAGGGAAACTAGATTTCTTCTTAAGGGAGTAAGTTGCATTTAGAAAGCTGAAGGCCTGATTCTGGAGTCATCATTCAGACAAAACACTTCATAATTTCAGTGGGAACACAGCAGAAATACGGGCAGAGCTGCGTTCCTAAAGTCTTAATTCCAAATCTTTTGTGTGTCCATAACTCGGACAGGAAGATATTGGTCTGCAGATTGAAGAGCGCTGTTGTTTTTAGGTCTATCTGTAGTGACAGAAGGGTTTGCCAGTCCCAGCACGCCTCACTCTGGCTGGAATGTGCTGCTGGACCCCCTTCCCTCTGCTGTCGTGGTGCTCACTGCCCGCTCTCGAGCGCATGCAGGGCGGGCCATGCGGCTGCTGCCAAAGGAGAGACAAAGCTTCAGCTTCTCAGCAAAGAAATGATGCAAAACCATTGAGCAGCACTAACTCACGGACTAATTACAAACTAAATTGTGCTATATATTAGTATAAAAACATGTTTGAGTAAGAATGGCACTGGTTTAGAAGGAATTAGGACTCCCATCTTGGTTCCGGTCGGTCCACAGTGACAGTGTTGTAGTACAGGCCTGCCCTGTTGCCTGAGCAACTTGTGACAGTGGCTTTTGGCCACAACCCCTTCCATTTCTTCCCTTTTTAAATCCACATTGTTGGTACACTCTGGGAGTAGCCCAGGTCAGGTCTGGTCACCTTTCCTAACGTGGCACCAGGATAGTTCGCTCTTATCCTCTGATATTTTTAAAATATCATTATTGTTTCCCTCTTCTGATTCTCAAAGCTGGTCAGTTTTAAGGATCATCTTCTCCTGTAGACACCATGAGACGCATTGCTACCGGTAGGTGGTCTGTCAAGCCTGCCAGCTGGGTAATAAAGCTGAACTCTTCCACTTCCTGCAAAGGAAAACAAAAGTAAGAAAAGGAATTGAAAAACCCGTCTGTTCCAGCACAGCCCAGGACTCGGGCTCTGTGAACAACCTCAGTGTGTCAGCAGAGGTGTGGGGCCAGTCTGGCTTGGCTGGGCTAATGGTAAACTGTGCCACACAGACAGTCAGTGTGGTGCAGCTGATGAGGTGAACCACTGACAGGATACCCACCTCAACTGTCTGCATGAAATCTGTCCTACCTTTTCTTTGCATTTACAGTAACAGCTTGTTGTTCCCGACAGATTTATCCAATTATATCCAGCCCTCACCTGGGAGGAGGGGCTGGCTCTACCATCCCAGGCAGGGTATGCAGCTAAAAAGGAAAACCTGTCTTCGTTAGTCATGAGATTAGACCGAGCTGTTGCGTGGGAATGTAAGGCAATAGGAATCCTGCTCCTTCTGTCTCTCAACTCCAGCCCTTGTTCTGGCATCAGTTCATGTTTGTAAGATGGATTTACCAGAGAGGTGTGCCATGGGCATTTGTGCTTCTGAAACAGGAAAATTTAAAAGAATTTCCCTACTAAGCTGCTGTCACAGAACACATGGAGAGAGAGGGCTATCCTGCACTAAGCTATGCTGAACTGCTCTGTTGCCCGCTCTCCTACAGCAGCTGCAGTGCTAAATAGGTGTGAATGAGCTTCTCATGTTCATCATGGCATTCTGTACAATTCTGGCAAGGT